ACACTTTTTTTGGATTCCGAGCCTTTTCAGATAAATGTGTCAGGTTACATAAGTTTCCATAAGGTTTCGTTTGAGACGTGAACGCTCAAAGGAAATTCCACAGAGAGCAGGCCTAAGAAGTACCCGCATATAATTTGCTTTAAAGTATTCGAGGAAAAATGCAGGTATCTCAGCTCTGCACATTTCTGAAATACAGTAGGAACAGTCAGCACCTTCGCCTGAGGGCACCCTTCCCCACAGAAAGGAGCAAGCAAAGAGACAGGTTTCACAGCGAGTGGAAATACCCTTCCCCGGGGAGCACGTGTCGCGTGGGGCAGAAGTCCGTCGCAAAGAGGGCAGCTCTCACCGAGCTGCCTTGGAAATCCTTACCAGCCCAGGATACCTTTTTTTCCCCTTTTCTGCATCTTAGGTAACACATGTGGTAAATATAAGCCTTTAGTTTTCCAAGAAACATAATATAAAAAACTGAATTACTGGCAGAGAAGCTTTAAAACCATTGGTTCCTAGGACTCCGTGGACACATTTTCCACACACCGTGATTTTATTTCATTTGCCTCCAAGGGCCGGGCCTGAAGCAGCTCTGTTGCATAAGGTGCTGTTTCCAAACACCTTGTTCCCAACTGGAGACACAGAGTAAGTTTTATCTAGAGCCGAGAGCACTCTGGAGGGGTGACATCGTGTTCCAAGCTGCCCTGGTTATAGTCAACAGTGGGAAAGCGGCCAGAGCCTTCTCACTGAGGAAGCTAATACAATATTCTAAATACTGGACGGTGGTTCTTGCTTAAAGCACAGAGTGGTCATAAAAACCACTTAAGGAAAAATTAATGGGAGGAAAATGTCTTGAATGTAGCAAATAAAAAATCTTTATGAGGGACATGGAAAAAATAGACTTACTATGAAGGGATGGTAACATTGGGAAATAAATCTTACACCAAAAATAATTCAACAAGTAGTATTTACAAAGGGTCCCACAGAAGAATTCCTTCAAAGAGTGCTAGCTTACCCTTTGTTTTTTCCTTCCCGCCTTCTTTCATTCAACAAATGACTACTGAGTACAGGCTGCGCGTGTGGGGAAGCCATGGTGAGCGAGTAAGACATCCTTCCTCCCCTTGTGGTCTCTCTGGCTGGCTGGCTGGAGGGACAGCCCCTGATCAGATCAGCCCTTAATGAAGGAGCCCCTGACAGAAGGAACTAGAAGGCAGAGTCCCAGGGTGCTGTGGCAGCTTATTCTATTTGGAGGGTCAGAGAAAGTTTTCCTGGAGGCGGTGATTCCAGATAGTGAGAGCATCGCATGTGAAGGCCCTCTATAGAAGGAGCCTGGTCCTTTGAGGAAAGGGAGACCATAGGGCTGCAGAGGTCAGCTGGTGCCATGGGGCAAAGGAGGACTCTGGAGGCTGTGGTGAGGAGGTTTTGATTCTAATTTTATGGGGTATAGAAATACCGCTCCCTGGGGGGCGGGGAGAGTCACTGAGGGTTGTAAGCAGGAAGTAAAATAATCAGCTTGGCTTAAGAAAAAAAAAAGAAGAAGACAGCCACAAGCTGTGAGGAGAATGGGCTGACAGTGTGGGGAGCTCACAATGGAAGCAGAAAGACTAGTCAGGAGGCTGCTGTGCTTGCTGGGCAAGAGCTGCTGGTGGTCATGGGGACGAGCCAAGTGGACGGGCTGACTCATCCAGGGCTCGTTGGAAAGAGCACTGTGACCCAGATGAAGTGAACTCAGAGGGCAAGAACTGGGGCCGACCACATCCCACCCAGGCTAATCTGATCATTACAACTTAATTCTATTAGTTGGTGAAATGGATAGCATCATTCCTGGGAGAAAGGCAAATCAGGTCCGGATCATGTATATTAACCTCTACTACCACCCGAGTATTCCGAGTGTTTAAAGGCCCAACCACATTCCCGGGTCACGTTACAGTCTCGTGTAGTAGCTATTGTCACAACTGAGATTTAGTGACATTAAGGAACTTGCCCAGCTGGTGACTGGCAGAACCGGGACTGAAACAGTAGCCACCAGCCTGCCCTGGGACGAGTGATAAGTCCCAGGGAACCTAGGCACACACTGGCTCTAAGGACTGGCTGCTGCTTCGGGCCCGGGGCAGGAGGAGCTGCCTTTTCCCACCCACCCAGGAATGTTTTCTGGCAATTCTAGGAGCCGCATCAGCCAGCTTGGGACCTTCTCCCACACGTGTGTGCATGTGTGAAACCCCACTCACAGCTGGGCCTTGTCTCTGGGGCTATTCCTTCTAGGGCAGACATAACTTGTAGGTCCTGGGCAGCAGATTCCTGCCCAAGAAGGCTGACTTCTGTTCCAGAAAAATGTCACATTTTCACAGAAGCTGGCCAGAGGGGGTGGGAAGAGTTGGAACACAACTGGAGTAAACGGAATGCTGTAGGAAAAGGTCTCGGGGTGGGAACGGATGCTGCAGGTACCAGGAGCTGCACAAATGTCCCAAGGTACAAAGACTGATTAGGCGATGTTTTCATGTCAGAAAAATTTTTGCCATCTGCCTGCCTGGGAGCAGGCAGTGTGTGGCCTTACTCTGTAGGTGACGCCCTGGGCAGTATCAGGTTGTGGATAGGAGACCACGCGATAACGATGGACTCAGAAGAATGTGATCAAACTGCCTGTGCCTTTACGTAGCCAGTCTGGCCGGAGGGAGCCCTTAGACAGACGTAAGGGAATCTGAGTTCGCCTTTGGACTTTTGTTTCCAATGAAACAGCTTTATTTGGTTATATGCATGTGTACTGAACCCTATTTGAAACCTACTCTACTATTTTCTTGTTGCTGCTGTAACAAATTGCCACAAACTTAGTGGCTTAAAACATGTTTAGTGTCTTACAGTTCTGAAGGTCAGAGGTCTGAGAAGGGTCTCAGCAGACTGGTTCCTCCTGGAGCTCTGGGAGAGTTTATATTTTCTGGGCTTTTCCAGCTTTTGAGGCTCCTGCATTCCTTGGCTTGTGGCTTCCCCCTTTATCTTCAAAGGCAGAGCATAGTTTCTTCAAAGGCAGCAGCGCAGTATCTACAAAGGCAGAGCATACTTTCTTCAAAGGCAGCAGCGCAGTATCTACAAAGGCAGAGCATAGTTTCTTCAAAGGCAGCAGCGCAGTATCTACAAAGGCAGAGCATAGTTTCTTCAAAGGCAGCAGCGCAGTATCTACAAAGGCAGAGCATAGTTTCTTCCAAGGCAGCAGTGTAGTATCTTCACATTTCCAACTTTTGTTTTCAGCATCATATCTCCCACTTTGAACTTCATGTCTCCTTCTTATGAGGGCCCTTGTGATCGTACTGAGCCTACATGGATAATCTTCCATCTTGAGATCCTTAATCAGATCTGCAAAAGTCCCCTTTTCCATGTAATGTAATATATTCATAGGTTTCAGAGATTTAGAATGTGGACATCTTTGGGGGATGTTATTTTGGGGAGTTAATTTGTTCAAGGGGGACTACCACCCACTTTCTCAAATTAAGGTAAAGAATGATAAGTCTACCAGCTAGGAGGGGGATGGACTGCAAGCAGGCAGGCTGATGTCATGGAGACCAGATCGGAGGCTGTGGTGGAGTCAGCAAGGAAGATTCTGGTGGCTTGGGCTGGAGTAGAGTGGGAAGAATGAACACAGGACATGTTTCGGAGGGAGGATCGCCTGGTCCTGAGAACTGCTGGACTTAGATGAGCAAAGACTAGAAGGAGACTGGGTAGATGGTAGTGCCCCCGCATAGGGCCTAAGGGGAGGAACAGGTTTGTGGCAAGGACAAACAGATCAGGCAGTGATGCGCTGCTTCTAGATACCCATGGGACGTTCAGGAGAGGTGCCTGGGAGGCAGGCGGACCCAGCTGCAACTTCTGGAGCCTTCCTCTCCCTGTGGGCATACATGGGCTCATTCTCCACCTTGATTTCTGGGTTACTGTCTCTGTTTGACCCTAAGTTCTCCATTCCAGATAGGAGCTGAGGAGCAATCTTGTATTTCTGAAGCCAGAGTAGCACTGATACATATTCCACATCAAGTTGAAGTTTATCGGCCCTGGAAACATGACTTTCAGTCATAGAGAGATAGTTACTTGCACAAGGGAAACCAGGCTTTCAGGGAAACCAGGTCCACAGGGAGGTCCACAGGCAGGAAGAGAGAAGAGAATCCACAGGCCCTGGAACAGAGGACACAGGTGCCTCCTGTGTCAGCCCCCAGGGCGGCTTAGGCTATGGCCTCAGTGCCCCAGAGGGTGCTTTTCAGACTGTTTAAAAAAGTTTTTTTTTTTTAAAGGACTTGATTTATTTTTTAGACAGTGGGAAAGGGAGAAAGAGAGGTAGAGAAACCTCAGTGTATGAGAGAAACATTAAATGGTTGTCTTTTGCATGCAACCCAAGCATATGCCCTGACTGGGAATTGAACCAAAATGAACCTGTGACCTTTCAGTTCTCAGGCTGGCGCTCAGCTCACTGAGCCACACCAGCCAGGGCCCTTTTCAGCCTGTTTATTGCTATAAGTGATCCTGATCCTCGGAATAACAAGGGTAAGAGGAGCTCAGGGTAGACCAAGGTTGAATTTCCTACCAGCCTGGAAGATGAGGGCTCCCAGTAGGATTTATACTTGATTTACAGGAAACAAAGGAAGGAGATATTTTGCACAACACATTTTAAGCTCTTATTCTTTACACTGTATAATATGGGGCACCTGCATATTTATTTACTTATTTGTCTAGCTCTGGCTTCTCCTTAGCAGGAGTCTCAAGGGTGGTCTCCACGATATATCCAGTGCCCTGCACAGCCTCATTAAAATGTGCAGGAATCTCCCTGAGAATGGTGTCTCGGTAGAAACTGGAAGAGGGAGATTTTGCAACAAGTTAGGGTTTCGAGAAGACAAACTGTGGATTGGAGTAGTGGGAGAATGAGTTTTCTAGCAGAAAGGCTGTAAAGGAACGATGAACGGACCGGCTCAGCCGGGGTGCAGGCGCGAAGTGACGCAGCGCGGTTTGGCCGCTGTGGGGCGCCGTAGCTCGCGCCGTTGCCAGGGGAACGGGTCCAGCTCCGGACGAGGCCCAGCCAGCCTCGGCCCGGCCTGGCTGTACAGCCATCGTACCCCTGGATCCGGAGCCCTAGGACTCGCCGTCCTAATCTCCGCCGCGCAGCTCGGGATGGGGCTCCGCTCCGGGATGCGCCGCTGCCCGTTCCCCGGGGCCGTCCCAGCCGCGAGGGTCTGAAGCGCGGCCACCCGGGGAAGAGGGGCGTGTGGACGGCGCAAAGGCTGAACCTCTGGGAGACCTTGGCGGAGCCGATGTGGCTCGGCCTAAATGACGCGCAGGTGAGGAGCTACCGCCGCGGTATTCTCACCTTGAAGCCTGGCCTGAGCCACCAGGCTGCGGCTGCCACCATCCAGTTGTGTTTTGCCTCGCTTGGGCCTGGAGCCCGAGGCCTTGGCCGTAGGGACCCGTCCAAGCGGGGCTCCTTTCTGGTATTTACCAGGCTCGCAGATCTGCATTGAGAGCCTACTGTGTGGCAGGGGAGGAGCCATAGGGGGCTCCAAACAGCCAATCTCCAGACCCCACGAAGGCCCAGGGCTGGGCCTGGGGCCGGGGCAGACAGGCGCCAGATAAACAACTGAAGTGATTTCAGGTGGGGATAAGGGCTCTGGAGGTGAAATGGAAGAAGGTGGCCGAAGAGGGTCTATTGTCAAAGTTGACTGAAGCTACGAGCTGAAGGTTGGAAAGGAGCCAGCATCGTGAGCCGGGGAGGGGTGTTTCTGGAAGAATGAAAAGCAAATGCAAAGGTCTGGAGTCAGCCAAGTATTATGGTGAAGGAGCCGTGGAGGATGTGGTGGAAGTTTCAACTTTGTTCTAGCAGGAGGAGGAAACCATTTGAAGAGTTTGGATGAAGTTTCATGTTTGGAAAAGCTCACCTCACACTGGTTGCTGTGGGCACGACCGCGCACAACAGGAAGTCAGCTGAGGGTCATCCCAGTTCTGTCAGCCTCCCTGTGTCTCCTGGGTGAACTTCCTTGGTCTTTCTGAGCCCGGGTGTCCTCATCCGTAAAGGGGGGACGTTGCTCTGCACGGTGTTTCTAAGAGAGAAAGTGAGGGCCCAGCTACCCCTGAGGCCAAGGACTGGCGAGGTCTCTGAGAAGAGTGAAATGATAAGATGTAACTCAAGAGAATGGCGAGGGTTTTAATAAGTGAATTCCTTCAAAGCACTTAAGGCAATTCCTGGCACCAAAGTGCCCCCTAAATGCTAGTGGTGGTTATTATCATGGAAACCCTGTAGGGGAGCAATCATGGAGGCTTGGATTAAAGTGATGGCCACGGAGATGGTAGGAAGTGGCTTAACTTCCCTTATGGAAGGAGAGCTGGGTTTAGAAGTGGATGGAGGGTGGTCCCTGCTTTTGCAGAGCTGGTGGTTCACAGTGGGGGACGGGTTTATAAACAGATAATCTTCATAAGATGGAATAAAAGCAACACTGGTGTTTAATTAACCAGTTTTTCCCCCTTTTGTTTTTCTTACTTTTTTCTGTCACAACTTTGTTCTTAATGACTGTTTCTTGGCGGGTGGTCGTCAGGGCTTGCTCCCTATAATCAAGTGAGTTGATTTCCTGGATAAAATCCACAACCCTTGCCTCCACTCACTGGCCTTGGTTCTGCTCCCGGTCACTCCATCCTTCTTGTCTGCAGTTTGCAGTGATTACTTCAGGAGGAGAATGGCCTAGAAAATGTTTGCAGATCACGTCAACTCGGAAATGACTGAAGTTTCAAGCTTCTCTTGCCCCAGCATCAGACCTCTGCATGTTGTCAAAGGGGGAAGCCCAGCCTCACCTGAGACTGGTGACTGGGAAGGAGGCCTATGAGAACGGCTTGGAGGTCCAGTTTATTTTCTAGGACTTGTGGTGGTGTGCGTCTCTTCGTCAGACTAGAGTACTTTCTAGGATTTTAAGGCCAGAGACTTGTCCAGGACCTGTGGGGAATTTTAATCAACAAAGGACTTGCCCCTAAAAGTTCTTTTTAAAGACTTTTTACACTGTAAAACAGTGCACCCCGCCCTCCTTTAGGTGGTTAAATTGGGCATCTGTTAAATCTTGGTGAAAATTATTTCAAAAGCAGATCCTGGGAGAAAAACAGATGCCTTATTTAGAAATGTCCATAGAAAACCTCTCGCACAGCAACCGTAAACCCTCCAGCTAAACTAAGAGTTAGGGAGCATCTTTCCTGTGGCATGTGCCTTCTCCTTGGGTTTGGAGCTGAGTGGGCCCCTGACCCAGGACTAGAACAAGGTCCCTCCCAGCATCCCCTTTGTTGTGCTGCCTGGTTGTCTGGTTCCCGCTTGGACAAGACCCCAATGGCTCATGGGGAGCTCTGCAGCGCTTGCTCATAGCCTTTAGCTGGATGAGTCGAAACTGCTCTCGAGACAGAAAATGTCGAACTAAAACCAACCACTCTCATTGCACAGTTGTCAGGCAGGAGCTCCTTGTTTGTTTGGCAGGGTGCAGGCCCTGGCTCACGTGAGCACATTCAGTCCTCATGGCCTCCTCGTGGGGCCAGCAGGGCCAAAGGTGATACTGCTCAATTATTTATTATTTGACAGGTTTTTTTTTCCCCAAAAGCAGTGCATGCACCTGGTAAAAAAAAAAAAAAAAATGTAAACAGTACCAAGGAATACACAGTAAAAGCAAATCTCTCTCTCACCCCCAGCCACTAGATCCCCTTCCCAAAGGCCGAGCCTCTGGCCACTGCCTTTGTGTTTGCTTGCATGGTAGCAGTCTCTGCAGCCACTGCACATTTTGCTTTTCCACTTACCTGCCATTTCCTCCTCCCTGTTTTTAATGTTGAGTAGGGTTCCACTGTGTGGATGCGTCATGGTTTGTTTGTATTGTGTTTTGTTCTTTATTATCACAAGACGCAGTGTGTCTTTGTGTACTTTGTGAGTGTGTGTATGGGATACATTTCTGCACATGTGGGCCTGAGGGTGTATGTGTTCTGAAGCTTGGTAGACGTTGCCAGATCGCCTTCAAGCTAAATGTTTTTGAAAGGTGGGAGGAGAGCCCAGAGGTGGCTCTATGACATTTGCACCCCCTGCCTGGGTTCCGCAACCTGTGAGCGGCCGTGCTGGGTCCAGAACCAGGCTCTGTCTCTGGGCTTAGCCCTTCGTCCCTTGCTCCAACCTGCCGCCCCCCATTGGTGGCTCAAGTCTCTGGGCTCTCCAAGCCTCTTCTCTGACTCCATTACTCCTCTGACCCTCCCTCCCTGTCCGGTGGCCTCTCTCCACAAGCTCCCTGTAGTAGTTGAGTTAATTGTTTTTTGAAATCCTCAACCATCTTGCGGGAATTCAGCAATGCCCTCTCCAGGGCAGGTACTTTCCCTCAGTTTGCTTCTTTGGACAACCCCACGCATGAACTTCAGAATCACATTCCTCCCTATTTTTTCCATTGGAGTGGAGGTGGTGAGGGGAAAGTGGATCAGTCATGCAAGTTGTATGTTTTATAGTTCTCATAAAGAACTCGAAGTGTTAAGATTTCCCTTCCAGGTAGCCCAACCTTATTGGGAAGATGCTGTTTCAGGCTTTTACCAATTGAATATTAACATGAGCAGATTGTTGTCATCCTGGCAATGGGCTTCACCTTGTTGGGACAAGGTGGGGGTGGTCCTGCATAACCCCTGAGCCTGCCTTAGATGGCAGGCGGGTCCTTAGCTTACCAAGGTGACAGCTGCCTATGGGGATAATGTTCCATGGGGCCTCTCCCCTCTTGCCTTCCCTCTGTCTCCGCCAGCTTGACTCTGTGGTTTGTTCTGTGGCAGCAGAAGGTACACGAAGAGTCTTATCAAGGCCTGCATATCTCTCAGCCCTCCAAAGGTGCAGCTGGGACTCAGTGGGCAGGAGGGAGCTTGTGGACTTGACTTCGACCTCCCAGCCACCTCCTCCCAATGTACAGGGCTGCTAGCCGCTGTGGTGTCACCGTCCCCCGGCACCCTTTCCCCCTCTTGCTCATGCCCACTCCCCCACAAAGTCAAAGCTTTGTGACTAGAAAGCTTTCCGGCCCTGCCTGGTGTGGCTCAGTGGATTGAGCACCAGCCTGTGAACCAAAGGGTTGCTGGTTTGACTCCCGGTCAGGGCACATGCCTGGGTTGCGGGCTGGGGCCTGCGGGAAGCAACCTACCTCTCGTGCATTGATGTTTCTTTCCCTCTCTCTAAAAATAGATATTTTTTTTAAGAGAAAGCTTTCCAAAATTCTTATCACTTTCTGTCATTCTCCTGCTTTCAACTTCCTGTGACTCCCTGTAACTCTTTCAACAGTACCCACTTTCTCACCTGGCCCCTATGATCTAACCCTGCAGCTCCCCAGGGCCTGCCTCTTTCTCCCTCTTGCTCTCTCTCTCTTCTCCCTTCTCCTCTCTGCCTTTGCCTGCTCACCTTGCCCCTAGACCCTAAAATACCCCTTCACCCATTGCTGTGATGTCTGTTTGGGTTCCCAGAGAGCAAGCCCCCGAGGGCAGGAGCCTGGTCTCATCCATGTTTACGTCCTCAGTGCACATAGGGGGCCGGGCCCCCATAAGTGGCTGGTTGGGCCAAGGTGTGCAGGCTGGTCACACTGACCAGGAGCAGAGCCATGGATCTTTCACTCTGATCTCCTTGAGAAGTGCTGAGAGGGGAGGAAGGGCCAGAGTGACCCTGGGTCAGTGACAGTGCTTGATCCCATTTTGGATTCTCTCTGACCTCCCAGTTTTTTTAAATCAAGATCTTTTGGGCCAGAAGGATGTGTGCTCACCAACTAACTCTACAAGGGAAAATGTCATCAGTTAAGAGCTGGCCAGCCTAGGCTTTGGGGCGGGTGGCATATCTCCTGACCAGATCGGTTGTCTACTCTAGACCGCTGCCTCAGCTGCAAGGGACCCAGACCTACCAGCGCTGTCCCCTCATCCACAGTCTCATCTGGGTACCTCTCTGGGCCAGGGGTGCCCTGGTTTCGAGTCAGAGCCACCCCAAAGGCTGTTTGCATAGGCTCCTGGCCTTACATGGCGTCTCCTGCTGCCTCAGGTATCTGGCTCCAGCAGGACTGGGGGTGCCTGCGGCCACTGTGAGGCCACTCCGGGCAGCAGAGAAATGTCAGTTTTGTACTTCTGCTTCTTTCTTTAGAAAGTCCCTCAAGGTGTAGGGCTGTTAAGGTCAGGGGGTGGCAAACAGAAAGCTAGGACTGCCTTGGCCGGTGTGGCTCAGTGGATTAAGCATGGGCTGTGAATCGATGGGTCGCTGGTTTGATTTTCCATTGTTACACATGCCTGGGTTTCGGGCCAGGTCTTCAGTGGGGGCCACGTGAAAGGCAGCCATACTCTGATATTTCTCTCCCTCTCTTTCTCCCTCCCTTCCCCTCTCTCTAAAAATAAATAAGTAAAATCTTAAGAAAAGAAAAGAAAGCCAGGACTTAGGGACCCTAGTTTGTGGGGTCCCTGAAAGTTGTTGCCCTGGCGATGATGTCACCAGAGAGGCGATGTGCAGGCCTAGGATTCCGACCCCAAGCAGAACCGTCCAGCCGAACTGTGTTCACTGGGTTCGACCTGGTCACCTTTGACTATTTCCAGAAATCAAGGACAAAAAAAATTTTTTTAAGATTTATTTCTCTATTTATTTAGAGAGGGGAAGGGAGAGAGAAAGAAAGGGAGAGAAACATCCATGTGTGGTTGCTTCTCATGCGCCCCCTTCTGGGGACCTGGCCTGGAACCCAGGTAGGTGCCCTGACTGGGAATTGAACCAGTAACCGACCCTTTGATCTACACAGACTGGCACTCAACCACTGAGCCTCGCCAGCCGGGGCCAAGGATAAAAATTTGCTACCACTGGGGACATCCAAAAGAAAGTGATACCAGCTTTTTAGTCACCTCTGATTGAAGACGAGTCCGAGTGGCCACCCCGCGCCCCAGCTCCTGTGACGCCGTGTTCTCTGGGACCACTGCTGTAAGGAAGCAACTCCAACCAACCAACCCCATCGCTTTGGACTTAAACCTCATAGAATATCAGATAGCAGACGCCTCAGTCTGGAGAGATGAGGACAGTCCACCCGAAGGGCTGTTTTAAGGGTGATTCTGACGCCTACCCTTCAGGGAGCATTTCTGTGCCAGGCTTCACCTGCAGTGTTGCTGATCCGTGTGCTTCACAATGTAGGCCACTGATCCCATTTTTCAGATGAAGAAACTCAGACCACTCAGCTAGCAGGTGCAGAGCTGGGACTTGAACCTAGATCTTTGTCCTCCAAAGCTGGAGCTCTTTTCTTGCCTTTTGCTGTTGCTTATTGAAGACAAAGCCAGTGACCCAAGGATTCCAGCTGACTCCCTGGAAGAAAACCAGGGTCATCCATTTAGTCTTGAAATGAGGCTACTCAGAAGTGGCTTCAGATATGCCAGGCTTGACTTTCAGGAGGCTCTGAGCCTCAGGTGGGATGAGTGTTCAGTAGTTAGGCTAATAGCCAGTGGGCAGGGCACTGGGGCGGAGGAGGTGTGGGTGCTTGCTGGCTGTGCAGAGTGGAGGCAGGGCAGAGTAGGCCAGATGGCTTCGGGTGGACCAGGGTTCCACACCATTTACCATGCCCACATTTCCTTTTATTGCAGATGTTTTCAAGTCAGCAAACATTTACTGAGTACCTTCTGTGTACAAGGTATGTTCTGGGTACTTGGGGGAGGGGATGTAGGGAGCAGAGGTGAATGAATCACAGTGTATTTACTGCCCTTAGGGGAAGCTGGAGAAACGGGGTGGGTGGGGGCAGGGGGTGCAAACACACGGCGATGGCAGTGTTCCAAATGGCAAAGTGACTTGCCTAGTAAAGACTGAGCATGAGGGCCCTGGCTCCACTTGGCATACCCCTGGCTCAGGAGACACTTCCAGTGGGCTTAGGGTTAACTACCATTTGTTGGGTTGAGAAGTGAGGTAGGTGCATAGGCATGGACTCCTGAGAGTCCAGCTGCCAGGGCTTTGTCCCCAACTCCTGGCCTTCCTTCCAAGAACTCCATCTGGGCCTGTCTCTCTGAGTATGGTGCTGCCTGCCCAGGCTCTAGTCCCATCTCAGGCCCAGAAGATACTAGGAGGCCCGGGAGCTCTTCTACCTGTAATGACAGGCCCACCCTGCCTACCTGCCTGCCTGCCTGCCTATGACTGGCCACTAGGCCAGGTTTCGGGACTAAGGATGGCTGTGTGATAGTGCTGCCATCTGGTGGCTGGCTCTGGTCAAGGCCTGGCCTTCCCTGAGCTCCCTCAGGTCAGCCCATCTTTCATCTTTCTTTATTTTATTTATTTTCAGAGAGAGGGGAAGGGAGGGAGAAAGAGGGGGCAAGAAACCCTATGTATGAGAGAAGAGAGAAACCAGTACAAGAGAGAAACTGATTACAGCAATCAGTTGCCTCTTGCATGCCCCCAACTGGAGACCTGGCCTGCAACCCAAGCATGGGCGCTGACAGTCAATCGAACAACAACCTTTCAGTTTGCAGGCTGGGGCTCAATCTACTGAGCCACACCAGCCAGGGCCAGCCCACCTTTCTGATCTCAGTGCACCAGGCCCAGATTTCACTTGGAGGAACATGACCATTTCCTCTGCTGGAGGGAACCAAGGAGGAACCCTCCCCCCTCTCTTGTGTGCTGGCCTGTCCTGAAGGGATTACATGCTTGCCTGGGGGCAGAGGGCAGATTCCCTTTCTGGACAGCTCCACTCCCTGTTTCCCTGAGCACATGGTAGGGGGCCCTCTCTGACACTTGCATTTGGGCCACAGGACAGAGGTGACTAATCATAACAGAATCAGCATGTGTTCTCATCGCTCTGGCCCTGGCCCGATATTGTTACCAGATGAGAACATGTCTTACTGGGTTTAACTTTGATGGCTGTGGAGACAGAACACTTTGAGTAACAGGCAGCCCCATTGTGTCCTGAATAAACCCTGGATCCTCCCACCTTTTATTGGCCAAGGCCGGGACCACAGCTGTCTCTGGGGCTTTGAGACCGCACTCTAGTACCACTTTCCCCCACTGCTCGACTTCATCACGCTAGGGCACCCGGTTCCCCTGCAGAATAGCTGGGAGGAGATTTTACATCCCAGCGTGCTTCTCCCACTGCTGAAAGCTGGCTGCATGCATGGGCTCCAGGCTCCAGCCTGGGCCTCCTCAGGCTAATGCTGCCTCTGCTCTTTCTCCCTCTGGAGATGAACATCTGCAACAAGCCCTCCAACAAGACAGCCCCTGAGAAGAGTGTGTGGACAGCGCCCTCACAGGCCAGCGGACCCTCCCCGGAGCTGCAGGGCCAGCGGTCACGCCGGAATGGCTGGAGCTGGCCCCCTCACCCCCTCCAGATTGTGGCCTGGCTGCTGTACCTCTTCTTTGCTGTGATCGGCTTTGGGGTCCTTGTCCCCCTCCTGCCTTACCACTGGGTTCCTGCTGGCTATGCTGTATCCTTGGGAGAGTGTCGGGCTTATGCGTGGGATTATGGGGGCAGCAGGTGGAGAACATGGCAGAGGCCTGAGGGTGGGCTCCAGAGCCTCAGAGAGCACGGGCAGGTGCTGTCTCCTCCCGGGGTGGGCAGGGGGACCAGGTGCCTCCCTGCCTGGCCTCCGGCCTCCATGTGGCCCCTCTGCTCGATGGGGTGAGCCTCCAGACTAAAGAAAGTCCCTTGGAGCATTTAAAGCCCCACAACAGAAGGGAACCCCATCAACCAGGGTCCCACTTGAAGGCTCTCTTTAGGTTGTGTCCAGAGCTCAATAAGGAATAAGTTAGTAATTATTTCATTTATGAAAGAATTTTTTACTTTTCAAAAAGGGCCGTAGTAGAATTCTTATACATAGTAAGGTTTCTGGTACATTTAAAATGTGGTTTTATTTTGGACAGATTATTATGCTATACTCGTTGATTTTGTAAATCCTGTCCTTTTAGGGTAAAGTTGAATTGACAAGAGGGAGGATAAAAGTGCCCTAGAGGCTCTTGGGAACAATGATAAACAGGAACTTGCAGGAGCCTAGTGCTGTGACTGCAGAGGACGTGGCCACAAGGCTCAGAGATGGGGGTGCAGCAGGCGGCCACATGCCCCACCCAGGTTCTCTGCCTGCCAGCCCCCCCATGCACGAGTGCCCTGGCGTGTGTGCTTCATGGAGACGATTCTCAGGGAGCAGAGCTTGGTCCCACCTCAGCCTGTTCAGTGCTACCCGAGGCTGAGCAGCTTCTGCCAGCTCTCTGGGTCTCAGCTGTCTGATGGGAAGAGTCCGCCCGCTTTCCAGGGTGGGGACAGGGAGCACACAGGGATGTGTGTCTGAGCACCAGAACGCACAAGCCACAGTTGCAAGTGTGCTGTCCTGTATGGGGCACAGGGCACGTGTCGGAAATAACAGAGCCCTGGTCTGGTGAGTGACAAGGGCAAGTGTGTGGAGAAGAACTCTGGAGAAGGTTGCCACCCTTGGGCACCAGCAGTATCACTGGGGGACTTCCTGGTTCACCGGGCCCTGGTCAGCTCCGTAAGTGGGAAATTGGATGTTCCCTGAGGTGACCAGTAGGCCTTGGTCAAGGCTATTAACTAGAATGCTTCATGGGATTTTCTTCTGGTGATGTGGAATGGGCACACCCCTCACTCAGGAGTAGCTGGGCGTGTGCCATGTGGTTTGAAGTGAGTGCAATCAGAACAATAACAGGAGACAAGGAACTGTCACTTACTGAGCACTTTTATGTGCCAAGCCTTGGGCCAGCCCCTGTACCTGGATTATCTTATCTAACCCTCAATAGGTTGAAGGTTTTCCTTCCACTTTACTAAGAAATTGGGGCTCAGGGAGATTAGGTGACTCCCTGAGGTTACACAGCTGGTGCCTAGTGAGGCCAGCAGAGATTCTCAGGCACTGGGGCGGTTGGAGGGGTTTGCCCTTATCACATTCACTGCGTTGGGCAGCTTACAGAACCACCCATTCTGGCACCTCGTCCAGGCCTGGATGGCTCTCCTTCCTTCCGTCAAAGCCACCTTCCTTTGCAGGCTCCCTCAGGTGAGGTAGGGCAATGATGAGTACCAAGCACCCTCCTCGGGCCTGGATCTGGCCTGGGACCTAGGACTGAAAAGATTAGCAAGACAGACCCCCAGCTCCGGGCGCTCAGCCTCCAGCTGGGGGAAGCCTTGTATACTGGGGATGGTCCTGTGGTACGTGTGGGGGTACAGCTCACAGAGGATACTGCGGATGCAGCAGGTGGGCCACCAGACCAGCATCGCCACTGGCCCAGACGCACACCTGCCGCCCGCAGCGCGCCCCCTCACCAGTGCCTAACCCACCTGTCCAGTTGCTCTCGACTCCGCCCCTTTTTTCGTCACCTGTATCCAGTCCATCTTCAGGTCCTGTTGATTGTACCACCTAAATGGCTATCGAATCGCCCTCTTTTCCCCACTGCCACCCGCCTCTCTTTTCTCAAGGACCATTGCCTTGCCTAACCTGTCTCCCCACACATACTCTAACTCTGGCCAGTCCATCTGGGTCCCTGCAGCCACAGTGCCCTTTTTAAAAAACAGATATGACAAAGTTGTTCCCCTGCTACATACCCTCTAATGGCTCTTTTTCTGCCTTGAGGGATGAGAGTCCAGATGCTCAAGGCTGTGTTCTGGCCTCTGCTTGTCTCCCCAACCCCTTATACCACGTCCTCCGTGGTTCTCTGCCTGCCAGCCCCCGGCCTGGCTCTCCACCCAAACACCCAGCTAGGTCAGGGGTCAAGAACCGACAGCCCACGAACCAGTTTGGCCTACGGATTTTTAAAATTTTAGTTGAAGGATGACTAACACACAAAAAGGACAGATCTTAAATGTTCCTTCAGCAGGTGGGTTTTAAAAAATTATTTCCTTGTCAACATTTAAAAAATAAGAGGCCTCACATAAAAATCCAGTGATTGTCCAATGGGCCCAACTGCTGAGAAAGGATGGCTTTTTCCCTCTCAGGACAGACTTCCTGTGTGAGAGCAAGACAAACAAGCTTAGGGCTTATATTTTGGGTCCCTGGAACTTAGAGGATGGTCTGTTTCAGTCTCACTTCTCACATCACATTTTTTAATCTGAAACCAAATTAGAATCAGAGGTCAGAACAGCCAGGGCCTGTGCCAAGCCTAGGACAGCGAGGCCATGGCCCCGTGTTCAGGCCCCTCGGCAGCAGCAGGCGGTGCTGGCTTGTGAGCTCTGTTACTGGATGGCCGCTGTCCTCCTCCATCTGGGGCTGGGTATGCCGGAAAGGTCTAGCAAGGAGGTAGGCCTGGCACAGGGTAAGAGTCTCTTAGTGAGGGAGTTGCATAGAGGTGGAGAACAGTTCTGTGGCCACAGGAAGCAGGGGTGGGGCTCCCAGCTGGCAGTGCGTGGAGTGAACCTTTAACCTGTGGAGTGTATGGGCGCCATCTTCGCCGGCCACCTCGTGGTGCACCTGACTGCTGTCTCCATCGACCCAGCAGATGCCAACGTACGGGACAAGAGCTATGCAGGGCCCCTGCCCATCTTCAACCGCAGCCAACACGCACACGTCATTGAAGACCTGCACTGCAATTTGTGCGACGTGGATGTGTGAGTGCTGACGTGGACCAAGGGTGTAGGTGGGCGAGGAGTGTGCCTGGGCACCTGTCAGTGGGAGCTCAAGGCAGAGAGGGGCATACCCGGGGCTTTATAGCCCTCCTAATAATGCATGTGTTAGTCAAAAGTCTTGACGGAGTGACAGAGAACTGGGTGAAGGAGAAGGTGATTGGAAACAGAAGATGAGAAATAGCATCTGCAACAGTAAAAGTAGGAAGCATTTGGCATGACCCCACACCCACAAACATTTTGGATGAATAACATTGCCAGTCACCGCCCCACCCCAGTCTCACAAGCACTCCCAGATAGGGACAAGGAGAGGAGTTAACACTTGAGTACTTACTGTGTGCCAAGTGCTTATGAACAACCACCCCACAGGGTGGGCAGCATCTTTCTCCACAGAGGATGAAGAGCCCAAAGCTCGGAAAGGCTGAAAGGCCTGCCTGAGGTCATATGGCCATTGGGCAACAGAGCTAGAGTCACCGCCAGCCTGCCTCGTGCCTGAGCCCAACGGTCATCCTCATTTACCCACGAGGACTCTGAGGCCCACAGAGGCCTGGTGACTTGCTCCAGATCACACTCCTAGTGGGCAGATGAGCCACAATGTGGGGAGCCCATACCCCCTTGGGCTGGTCCAGACTTCCTCCCTAGAGCCCTTCCCCCCTCCTAGAGCTTCCTGTCTCCCAGCCTCAGGTAGAGGATTGGGCATGGGGGTGTGGTCCAAGGGCAGCTCCATGCTTCTAATCTGAAGATGCAGGTAGCCTGTTGGAAGAGGGTCTGTCCAGGGGATGGAGGGAGAGCCCGTAGCGTTAGTAAGGTGCTCGGGACTTTGGCATCAGACCATCCTTCCCTTCACTAGGCACCAGTCAGTGTGGTGCTCCTCAGTGGGAGCTCTGGTGGTTGCTGCCCATTCCAGCCCTCTGTCCAGCTCTGGGGGAGGGCTCCCCACTCTTCCACACTCGGCTAGGCTTCCCCAGTCCCTCGCTGGGGCTGGGAGACTCCTATTCCTAATGTGACCTCACCTGATCTCTGGTGAACTGACCTGCATTCACCTGGGTATCATCTTGCTTGTCTTCCTTTGGCACCCTTTGGATGAGCCCTGACAAGCTAAGGTTTTCTGGAAGAATGCCAGTATAATTCCCATAGACTTGCAGGGAAGCAGGCACTGAAAAAATGGAGATGTCTGGAAGAGCAATGTAAGCCCTGCACCTAGCAGCCTTGCTCTGTTCTGCATCCTGGCCCCACACCTGCATCATCTCCTGATTCAGCTCAGGGGTCCTTGTGTGGAAGGGAAGTTCCATTTCCATTTCACACCACCGTCACCTGGTGCACAACTCTCAAGTGGGAGAATATAATGCTCCCTACCTGTTCTGCCTCTGGGTCCCCAGCTCTTCAGAAATGCTGGCTCCTCCAGGTGCCTCCCTACTCAGTGCCAGCAGAGGGCGTGCATGCTCCCCAGCACGGGGAGCTCAGTGGTCCCTGGGAGGTAGGTGCCGTGGATAATCTGCTGCAGGCTCAGGGCTCCGGACCATCCGGACCATCCGGGGACTCTTACCACTCCAGCAAGCCCCTGCAGCAGCCAAGGGGAGGACGAGTGGGTCAATTACACTGTTCCTCCTCCCCTCCTGCAGGAGTGCTCGCTCTAAGCACTGCAGTGCCTGCAACAAGTGTGTGTGCGGCTTTGACCACCACTGCAAGTGGCTCAACAACTGTGTGGGCGAAAGGAATTACTGGTGAGAGTGGACACAGGCTAAACGGGTGCCTGGGAATGTGCGGGTCTGAGTGTGATTCGGGCCACAGACTGCAGTGGGGTGGGGCGGGGAGGGGGGTCTGTGGAGGAGCTGGGTGCTGGTGTGCATCTCTGTGTGCTCCTGATGGCTGCCTCCTGGGCCTGCTGAGCGTAGGTTTTGGGTCTTCCTTCTGCTGGACCAGGGAAGAGTGGGGACCTGGAGGGGTGGCCCCCCATCTTTGCCATTGCCCTAAGTTGGGTGAGGATTTGGGCCTGTGGGATCAGAGGGCTCGCTCCCCATCCCAATTATGGGTCCTTCTGAGCGCTGGGCCCTATACCCAGCTGGAGCACCTGGGTGCTGACAGCTGCCCACGGCTGGGCCCAGGCTCTTTCTACACAGTGTGGCATCTGCTTTACTGGGTGTCCTACTCCTCGTGCTGGTGGCCACTTACGTCTTCGTGGAGTTCTTTGTCAATCCCATGAGGCTGCGTACCAACCACCACTTTGAAGGTCAGTCTGGGCTCCAGGCCTGCTCCCACCCCTCAGTCCTAGGCCTGTTCTGGTCACTGGTCACTGCCCCAGCTAAGCACAATCTGCCTATACCTCACAGTCCTGAAGAACCACACGAATGTGTGGTTTGTGTTCCTGCCTGCCGCCCCTGTGGAGACCCAGGCTCCTGCTATCCTGGCTCTGGCTGCCCTGCTCATTCTTCTGGGCCTGCTGTCCACAGCCCTGCTTGGCCACCTGCTCTGCTTCCACATTTATCTCAGTAAGTGCCCCCCCCCAACCCCGGGCATACTTGTCTTACAGGGGGTAGGGGTTCCTAGGCTGCAGGGAGGTACCAGTTGGGCTGTAGAGCTCTGAAGCCATGCCCCTTCCCACTGTTGGCTCTCTGTAGTGGCCTGGTCTCACTCCATGGCTTAGTGTGTATGGGGAGAGTGGTTTCAGCCTGGGCCCTGGTACCCTCCCTCACCTTCTGAACTCTAGGGTCCCTTTTCCACTGCACTGAGCCCTGTCCTCACCCCTCAGTGTGGCACAAGCTCACCACCTATGAGTACATCGTGCAGCATCGTCCACCACAGGAGGCAAGGGGGGCCCACAGGCAGCTCGAGTCATGTCCCCCCAAGATGCGGCCCATTCAGGTACAGAAGTGGCCCAGAGGGCTGAGGGAGTGGGAGATGGGAACTGGGGGGTGGGCTGTGCAGATCGCAGCCAGTGATGAGAAAGGGCAAAGGGAAGCAGGTCTGGAACAGCAGCTGGGGTAGGGGCACTGGGGAGCAGGGGTGAAGCCAAGCCTGTACTGAGCATATATATACCTGCTTGCTCAAGTGTGGGCACAGCGCAAAGGAACCCTGCATTTCCCAGACCTGTGTTTGCACCGGTCTGCACTCCAAGCATGTGCTGGAGGGTCTGGAACGTGGGAGCCTAGAACCGGGCAGGTTGGGACTGTGGGGGATGAGAGGGATGGACCGGTGACTGGGTCAGCACTTATCTCCACCTATACCCTGAGCCCTTAAACACTGTTTAATTCTTAAACTAGCCCATGAGGCAGGTAATATGGCCACATCCATGTTGTAGATGAGCACACTGAGGTCAAGAAAGGTTAAACAGAAGCTGGGTCTGGGAAGAATTAAGGTCTCAACACTCTGAAGCAGGAACCCTCCAACCCAGGCTAGGGCCTGGCCAGTCCAGCTGCTGACCAGCCTATCCCCATTCCCACGCCCCATGGCTTCCTGAGGTCAGCAGCTGAGGGGAGGGGAGGTCTAGTACTCGGAGCCCTCAGGGACTGGGAAGGCAGGGGGCCCAGGCAGGTCCTTGCTGGGAAGGCTGAGCCCTAGATCCCAAGTCCTCATGGCAACTAGACACAAACACACAGGCTCGTGGGCGGGTTGGAGACCCTGCCTCTCTCGTTCTCATTGCCAGGGGTGGGCCAGACAGTCAGGGCTGGGGCAGTGGTGGCTATTGGTAGAGACCCCCTGCTGCACCACTGTGTGCCTGCCCTGGTCATGGGCACTAACCCCGTGTAAGCCATCACAGTGGCAGCCATCCTGGGGCCCACTGAGCCAGGGCTGCCCCTGGGATGTCCAGCTCCAGAGCTCCAGGCCCATGCCCTGTAGTCATGACCTACCTAGACTTTGAAGCCAGATGTGCCAGCAGCAAAGACATTTAACATCATCTATGAAAGACCTGAGGGAGGCCTTCCCAGTAGGTGTGCAGAAGAGAGAACAGAGGCTGAGAGGAGCCATAGTACCATTCAAGAATTTGTATGTGTCAAAGACCTCTGAGGGAGGGCCCTAGGGACAGCTGTGGTGAGGGGAGGAAGACTTGAGTCAGGACCCCCCGGTGACACCCTCAGACTTCCCCAGCTGCCTAGGGCCGAGCTCCTGTCCCATTCTGGCCCCTCAGGTGTCTGGAACCATCCTCTCTGGTTACCAGCTTCCTAGGCCCAACCCTTCTGGAGCCCAGGGACAACAGGGTAGGCTTTGCCCCTCTCTGCTAGGCCTTGGAAGGGTGCTAGGTTCACAATGGGGAAGAGGAAAGATGTGGAGGGGGGATTACCTTGAGGTCCCAGTCCTTGTGACTGACCTCAGGCCCCTTCCTATTTCCCAGGGTTCCTCTGCTTAGGCTGGCACCCCACACTCCTGCCCCAAGGGCCAGCCTGGGCAGAGGCTGGACATGCAGCTTGCTGAGGCTCCAATCTCTGCATTTGTGCAGCCTGCCTGTGGCCAGCTAGGCTCTGTCCCCTACCTCTGCCAGTGCCCCAGGCAGCCTCCCCACCCCCACCCTGAGCAGGAATGCGGAAGGGGCCCCACTCTGGAGCCGTTGCCCCCAAACATAGCCTTGTTTTAGAGACCGTGTGTGCTGTTACATTGTCGTCTCTGCATTAGTCAGGACGCCTGGGTCTCCATGGAAACAGCTGTGGAGCAGGCGACAGCTGTCCCAGTGCCTCCCCCCTCCTCCCACCCCCCTCCCGCCCTGTGGGGCGGGGCCTCATCACGGTCCTGCCCCTGCCCCACATCCTTGGCACTAGGCCTTGCCAGGCTGCCTTTTCCTGGCTTTTGTTTCCTCACCTGCAGTCCTCATGGGCACGCAGCTGGAGCATGTGCTGCGTGCTGGGGTGCAGGCCTAGGTCACTCCCGTGACATCCCAACTTCAGGCCCCTCCACTGTCAGCCTCTGTAACAAACAGGGTTGCTGTTAGGATCAGCTTCTAAACAAGACACAATTCACCCATAAGCCTGGTCCTACGTGGGGTTGTGGTGCTGTTTTTTCTACCACCCCACTGCCTTCCCTTTCATGTTAGGGGTGGGGGAGACCGAGCACTCCCCAGCAGCCGAGACTGTGGTTGGCACTCTGAGAATTCAGCTTGGTGGGAACCATGAAGCCATGCACAGAACCTTGGGTGCACACCTGGTCTGCACAGCCAGCTGCACCATGTCTGAGCTGGGAAAAAAGTTGGTTCAAAGACTGGAATCTTGGGAGGGGCTAGGAGCTCAAGAGGGCAGATCGGAGCACCTCTTCCCATCACCACCCTTGTCTAGAGAAGCCCTTGATGATGCATTGGACCCATCAGGCTGGGGGCTTCCTGGAGGAAGCAGACTTTGACTGGATGAAATTAGATGAAATGGGGTGAGGTCCAGAAATGGATGTTTTAAGCTTCATCCTGCAAAGGGGTTTTTCCAGCAGAGCTGGGAAGCCTGGAGGAAAACAACAGACTTCTGCACCTAGACCTCTCACAGAGGCCTCGGTGGAGGGTGTTATATATCCAGGACTGGGTGGACTCAGGACCTATAAGACCCTGGGTCCACACCTGGCAGCCCAGCCTTCCTTGCCCCCACCTTCCCCAGGGGACAGACTTCTCCATGCGGACCTTCAGCCATGTGCGTCCAGAACCCCCTGGCCAGGCCAGGCCTGCCACAGGGAATGCTAAGTGAGTGCGATCTGGACGTGTGCCAGCTGGGCATCTCCCATGGGCATGGCCGGGCCATCTGAGGTGGGAGCAAGGGGACAGGCCAATGCCAAGACCCAAGCAAGGGTCTGGGTCCAGCCCAGCCTGGCCTTGGACAGATCAGTGCCCCTTTATTGCCTGCTAGAAAGGGAGGCTTATTTGAGGACCTTCATCTGGGTGGGATTTACAGGATTATCCACATTCAGTGCTTACCTTCCCACTTCCCCCTCAGTTCCTCCCCATTCCTTGCCACCAGCGGCCAAGAGGACCCTCCACCACCATCTTCCCCAGAGATTCTCGCTCTGCCCCCTGGGATCCGACCCCAGGTACGGGGTACTGTGCTGGTCCCCCTGCCCGAGTGGTGGAAGGGGATGGGAAAGAAGCCTCCACCTTGCCTCACTCCTCTGCCTGTTTTGGTGATGAGGGACCTGGGGAAGGGCACTCAGGCTCCCTGCTGTCTCTGCAGAAAAAGAGGAAGCCGGGTGAGGGCCCTTCCTGACCGGATCCTGCACCGGGAGCTCCGAGGGAAGGAAAGGTAGGGGCCCGAGAATGTCGCAGTCCCTAGTCTCACCTTTCCATCCACCCCTCAGGGCCCCAGGCCCCGGGCCACCGCTCCAGCTCTTCGTCGGATTCTGCTGGCGCTAGCCCGGTACACGCTGCTGGCCCCGCAGGCACCTACCGCTCGGCGTCAGCCGAGTCCATGGACGAGATTCCCGTGGCTCAGACGCGCCTGGGCAGCGCTGCCCTGTCGGTTCCTGGAGGCAGGGGCGGAGAACCGGGGCTGGCGCTGCAGGCACTGCAGGCGCATCTGCCTGCTGTTTTCGTGAGCCCGAGCAGCGGCGAGCCCGGGGCACGGGGCGGCCCAGAGACCGGCCTGGCTTAGCTGGGCTGAGAGGCAGGAGGGCCGAGAAGGAGCGGCCGGCGGGACCCACCCGACTCTCTCTATGCAACACCCCCACCCTCGCAGAACGAGTGCACTTTAGGAGCCCCTACAGCCGGCAGGATCGGCTCCCCCTCCCCCACCACTCAGCAATACCTGCCCCACTGGCCATGATGCTCCAATAAACTTTTTTATGCTTTTGCGGACTTACTGCAAACTTTTTGAATAGCAAGGGCCGTGGGCCCTCCTGGAGTTGGACCATTGCCTGCCAGTCTTGGGGCCGAGGATGGGGTAGGCCCCTTATAGCATCCAGATTGTCATATGGAGGTGAACGAGGACCCGAGGTACTCGTTCCTCGAGATGCACAAGGCTCCTGGTTAGGAACGATCCTAGAAGGCTACTTGGAAAAGGCTATGTTCTTGAAGATTTAAGAGTTTTCACTTGGAGACAAGAGGGGAAGCAGGCTTTGCGTGCGGGAGGGAGCAGATACCTGGGAGGTTCAGGAGCTTTATCCTGGCTGTAGGTGTACCAGGATGCTGGGACTGGGCACTCTCGATTCGCCTATTGTCCCGTCTCCCCAGTGCTCCTGAGTTGTGACCTGGGGATGCCACATGTTAATTGGCGAGCCATGGCCTTGAGCCAGCTATACACTCCACTGCCCACTGGCACCGAGGGAAGGGATCCTCCCGACCCTCTGCCCCGCCCCTCACCCTCCAGTATCCCACCCCCACCCCTCCTTCAGTTGTGGCTCTGGGAAGCTGGCTCTCCGTAGGAGGCGGAGGCCTGCTTTGAACTTAAGGTGGAGCACAGAATGGGGGGTTGCTTTCCCATTAGGAAGCCACCCGAGGACGTCCAGCACTGCAGAGGGCTGATCTCCCGGGCGGCGAAGGCCTCAGAGCTGCCCAGGAAGCGAAAGAAGGCAATCTTGGCAGCTCTGCCCACGCGAATCTCCCAGCGTCGATGGGGCGGGGTCCAGTGGGTGGAGCCAGCCTGACCTTGGTCACTCTCCCGCTGAGACAGCCCTGGGGGTGGGACTCGCCGTCTCTATGGAGACCGAGAAACAGGGGATAATACAGCAGAGCCGCCCGAGCTGCAGTCCCGCCCAGGAGCCGGCAGGGAGCAGAGCTGCAGAGCCGCCCGGTCTCCCGCGTCCGTGGGTCCATTCTTGTGTCCTTCTGTCCATCGAACGCGGGCTGCAGGAGCAGCCACGAGGTAGAAGTCGGTAGGAGAACCCCGGCGCCGACCACCCTAAACAGTATCCTGCACGATGAGGAAGAGGGTGGGGGTGGGAGCGGCCTGGAAGGGGTCCCAGCCCTGGAGGGTACCGAGCTTAGGACGCCAGCTGAGCGCCCTGCCCTGGGCCCAAGCGTTCCATTCCCACCCCCATCTCCTCGCTGGGCTGATTGATGACTCCAGCTGTCCCAGAGGGAGGACGCTGGTGGCCTTGGGCGTGGCTGCTCCATCCATGGCCTGCAGGCCCCTGGGACTACAGCCTGTAACCTGGCTCTTTCTGATCTGCACCGAAATTACCAGGAATGCATCTTCCCACAGAAAGGAGTGAGCACTGGATGCAGGAGCCTGCTAGTCTCTAGGACCAGCATCCTGTGGCACGAAAGCTCCCCTAGGCTTTAACCTCCATGAGCAAGCGCTGGGTCTCTGAGGTCCTTGGTGGGAGGTTGCAGTGTAGGGAGAGGGAAGTTTAGTGCAGTGTGCACACAGAGTCACTGCAAAGTAACAGCTGTGGGTGCTCCCAGTTCCAGAAACTGGGACTTAGAGATGGGCAAGTGTGGTCACTGGCCAGTGGTAGCAGAAGAGAGGATAGTTGGGCAGAGGCCTAGGCCACGGTCACTGGAGGCTCTAGTGTAAAAGGCAGAGGTATAAGATGGTTGCCGAAGACATGACTGGTTGGGAGGCTGTCGTAGAGGAGGTGGGTGTGCTCATGGAGGTCTCAACACAGGGGGTGTCCCAACATAGTACCTAGGAGTCTGGAAATGCATGTCTGCGGGTGCAGGCACGGGGTGGGGGCTTTAGTGCAGGGCTGAGTATGTGGCCAGATGATTGTGTACGTACAAAAAAGGGTGGGGGTGTATGGGTGTGGTTGGGGCTAAGGGTGTGTGGAAGGAGAATGAGGTGTAAGGCTCTGGTTAGGGGTCTCAGGAAGGGCTGTGGGTGTATGGATGGAGCAGCTGCAGCACACGGCAGAGGGTGTGGTCAGGGAGGCATCGGTGCCAGGCTGTACCAGCACAGCACTGTGGGTGTGGTCAGAGGACTGCAGGGGGACCATGAGGGTGGGAGGCACCGTTTGGTGCAGGGCTGAGCACGTTTCTGGGGAAGACTTTGGTACAGGGCTGTTAGTATATATGTCAAGGATGGATGCTGAAAGAATGGTCCAAGCCCTGTCTCAGGGCTGCTGGTGGGATCAGGGGACTGTAGGAGGGTCTGAGTGGGGCGCATCAGGGCGGGGCTGTGGGTGTGGTGAGGGAGGTTTGAGTACCAGGGGAAGGATGTGATCAGGGGGAATAAGGCTGAGGGTGTGGAGGGCCAGGGCTGAGTGCCTATGGCTGTGGGAGTGTGGACTGGTGTGGTGGTGCTCAGGGTATGGCCAAGGGGTCTCAGTGGAGGGCTGACAGTGTTGGGGACGTGGGCTTTGGTGCAGGGTGTAGGTGTGAGGATCAGAGGGCCAAGGCCATAGTCCTACCCGTCAACATGCCTCTGGGGGCTTATAGCTCTACAACCCCTACCCTAGGCTAGTCCCCCAATCTGCTGCTCCTCCTCAATTCCAGACTGGGAGGTTACAGCCCCAATGGGTGGCAAGGGATGAGGAAGCCAAGGCTGTGCCCCAGGTGCTGGGCGTGCTAGTGTGCCCCACCCGTGGGTCCCTGTTCCCCAGCCCAACCCAACCCAGCAGCAATGGGAGCTTCTCCCTGAGCCACTCTGACACCATCCTGCCCTTAGCAACATTCTCCAAGTAGCACCACCCTCCCTTAGCAACCGTCTCCAGGCTTCACAAACTGTGGCCAGGCCAGCCCCAGGCTCCCGCTCCCCTCATGTTTTTGTTTAACAGCAAATAGTAACAAGGTCCCGGCTGGGCCAGCTGCACCCCTGCCTAGGGCATGCACCCCTGCCTGTGCTCTGGCGCCCTTCTCAGCCAGGGTTGGGTCTTGATGGGTTCTCATGACCCTGACAAACACTGTCCTGACTAAATACCTGCCCAACTAGCAGCCTAGCCTGGCTCTGACCCAGCTTGGCATGGAACTCCCAGGGAGGGAGGGAGGCCTGCTCTGCCACTCTCACTTCTACCCAAGCAGGCCTTTTGCCAGGGCCACACAAAGCCATGATCCCAGCTGCTGCCCTCACAGTCTTTTGGGACGGGGCCACTCTGTTCCCAGCTTGGTGTGGGCATCGTGATTTCATCTTCTGAATGCCACTCCAAGCCAGGGCTAGCGTTAAGCAACAGGATCTTTCCTCTTGGGGCTCTTTCTCAGGGCTTGGGGGCCCAGGGAGACATTAAGTATTGGCCGCTCTCTGCAGGCAGCTCCCGCTCCAGCTCTCGCAGGTATGTACCCTAAGTGCCGCCAACTCAGACCTTGCAGGTTTTGTGGTAGTAGTGGTGATGTTCTGTGCCTTGTGGGGGGATCAGCTTGGCTGAGAGGTGACTGAGGTGGGTCCCTATAGGGTGGCATGGCAGCAAGCACAGACATGGCTGGGCTGGAGGAGAGCTTCCGCAAGTTTGCCATCCACGGTGACCCCAAGGCCAGTGGGCAAGAAATGAATGGCAAGAACTGGGCCAAGCTGTGCAAGGACTGCAAGGTGGCTGATGGAAAGGCTGTGACAGGGACCGACGTCGACATCGTCTTCTCCAAAGTCAAGTGAGCCCCAGGCAGTCTCTGCTTCTGATGTTCCCAGAAGGTGGGGAGTTGAGGGGCTGGAAGCAGGGAGGACATCGGGAAGGGGGAAAACTCACGATGCCCACGTACCTGGCAGGGGGAAGTCTGCTCGAGTCATCAACTATGAGGAGTTCAAGAAGGCCCTGGAAGAGCTGGCACCCAAGCGATTCAAGGGGAAGAGCAAGGAGGAGGCCTTCGATGCCATCTGCCAGTTGGTAGCAGGCAAGGAACCAGCCAATGTGGGCGTCACTGTAAGTGCCCTGCTGGTCTCAGGGAGATACTGAGGGGTATGTGGGGAATCTCAGCTGGGGTGGGAAGGGCTGGGCTCCCTAACCAGGTGCTCCTGGGGGAACTCTGTCCAAACAGAAAGCAAAAACAGGGGGAGCTGTGGAACGGCTGACTGACACCAGCAAGTACACCGGCTCCCACAAGGAACGCTTCGACGAGAGCGGCAAGGGCAAGGGCATTGCTGGGCGGCAGGACATCCTTGATGACAGTGGCTATGTGAGTGCTTACAAGAATGCAGGCACCTATGATGCCAAGGTGAAGAAGTGAGACCTGGGAAGAGCCCCCCAGCATGGCAGCCCCATCCAGAGGCTAAGGCCTGGTATAAGGGGTGTGTGGAACAAGAGAGCCTGGTCTCCTTCCTGCTGGACCTGCCATCCAGAGCTTCCTGCCCAGCCCCATTGGGCCAGCCCACCAGGTCTCTGACCCAGACTCCTCTGTGTCTCCCTCCCCTTTCCTCCATGACTTCTGTCCCTCTAGGGACAGTCTGTGCCTATAACCTAACCGCCCCAACCTAGCCCCGGGCATGGCTAAACCCCTGACTGCTTGCCTCATATTTAAGCTGCTGCTCTGGCCAAGTGCCTAATTCTTACCCAGACCTCAATAAAGACACCTTTTGTATCAATATGGCCTGGTCACGTATATGACAATGAGGACAACGAGGGGTTCACACCCCTCTGACCCCTCAGTATCACCATCCACCTGCCTGTCACATTGCTGATCCTCTCACTGGCAGCCCTGCCTAGAAAAAGACACACCAGTCCCTTCCATCAGGACGGAGCCGGACTGCCTGAGGATGCTCCATAGGGAAATCAAAGCCTTCTACCTGAGGCCTGACCCAGAGTCCTGGCACCACAGCTCGCCTTCTTCCTGCAGGCAGGGCCTCAGCCTCTCTGCTTTTACAGCAGGAGGAGGGATGAGACAGCAGATTTGGCCTGGGCCAAGTGTTGGCAGGGTGCCCAGTGCCAGGCCTTGGCGTCAGCCTGCTGATGGGCCCCCACTCCAGGGGGCTACCAAGGTGAGTCATTTCGGGCACCAGCTCAGATGATCAGAAAATGCAGAAAGAACTTCGGGGGTAGGTAGTCCAAATTCATAGTTTTATAGCTGAGGAAACTGAGGCCCAAAGAGTAAAGTGGCCTCTGCAGAAGAGGGGCCAGAACCATGCCACTTGACTCCCAGGCCAGGCTCTTTCTAACACAGCAAGCCCCAATATAACTTCCAGAAATGGGACTGGATGGCCCGTGACAGAGCCTGACACCCAATACCAGCCTTTGGTGGGTAAGCAGGGCATCCCACAGTGAAGGGGCTTCTTCCTTGCTGATGCCCTGACATCTGTTCAGCATCCCAGGGTGGGAGGATGTGGGGGCCTCTCTAGTCCTAAGGACTCCTGGGAGTTTCCAGATAACCTTTTCTCCTCTCTGAGGCTCTGGTTGCTAGGCCAGAGATACATATAAGCCCAAGGCTTTGGGGCCAGCTCTCCTTCCTGCTGACAAACAGGCTGATGAGACTGAGTGCCTTCCCAGTAGAGGACAGCTCCCAAAGGTGCTAGAAAAGGCTCAAAGTATCACTCACAGATACTTTCTTTCCCAACCTTGTTAACATGACAAAGTAGCACAACAGCTTATTCCTTCATCCCACAGACTGTTCTGGGGTGTTCCTGCCCCATGTGGCCCCAGAGTCCCTTCCTTGAACCCAGGTCTCTTGGGAGTGGAGGTACAGAGGAAGAGTGAAGCTCTGGACTGGGATGCTGGGGAGGTGAGGTGGGACCTGGAGGGCAGAGGATCAGAGCCCTGACGAACAGCTGACAGCTGTGGGCTCCTGATTTGGCTGACCGCCTTGCCTGGCACTGCCCAGGGAAGAGTTTCAGAGAGCCCTACCTCTCCCACCAGCAAAAATGATTCCTCTAACTGTGGGGAACTTGTTTCAATTGTGAGCTTACTTAAATGAGCATAATGGGAGTGAAACCCAATCCTTCTGGCTTTCACTTGCTAAAATATCCTCACAGTGAAAAGAATTTAACTGGGTTGCAAATTGGTCCAGGCTATCAAGTGATTAAGCTACAAGTGAGAGTACTGTCCAGTTAGGTGGGGAGCAGCAGCTCAGCCCCTGGGGTGACTGGCAGTATGGCTCAGAGGAACCAGACAGATCTGGGGGAGCCCTGAAACTCTATCTCGTAGGAGTAAAGTCCCCTCTTCTGGAAAAGTAGTCATGGAGTCCAAGGGAAATCAAGACCCACCCAGAGCAAGGAAGAACCTTATGAGTCTACTAGCAGAATCTGGTACAAAGGCACTTCGGCCCTGTAGTGACCACCCTCCACAGCTTCCTCATGGTGGAAAGCTTTGGGAGCCTCCGCCAGCAAAGCCAGGTGGGCAAGAAAGAGTGGTTAGGATCTGCGGGATGGAGCCACTAAACCCTTCTACATAAAGCTGGTGGGAAGGCTAAATCTGTCAGAGTGGCTCTGCCCCTTCTTTGGGCACAGAACTTCCCAGAGGACACAGCCCTATTTTCTTCTTTTCTCCCAATAATGTCAGGCACCTTGAGCGAGGAATTCTCCAGTTGTTTTCTCATTGCATCAGGAGACATCCCCATTCTATACTGAGCTCACATAGGCTCAACATTTCTTTGACACCTTTAATCCCTACCCTTGCCCTCTGGAACAAGGGCCACACAAGGAAAATCAGAAACAGCTGACTTCCCTAGGGATGGCCATCAACGCTAGAGAGGTACCTGGCCTGGGGCAGGGCCAGCCACTTTCAGTGACATTAGAAAATAGGGTGGAAAGTTACTCAGTCTGGGGTAGGCTTTTTGCTCCTTAGCATTACCCTGAATAGGCTCTGGGGCCGGCATTATCAGATGATCACAGGGGAAGGAAGGGAGGGCTGGAGTTGTAGAAAGAAGTGTGTTATTTTTCCGCACAATGGTCTGTCCAGTAAGCTGCTCTGTGTACTGGGCTGGGGCCCTGAAATGTGATAATTCAGGGCTTCGAGGTCACCGAGGTTGTCTGGAGGACGGGCCCAGGAAAGGGATGCTGGCAGTGGTGGGTGTTCTTACTGACGCTTCCACGGAGCCCAAGCTCACTCTCACTCCCTCAGAGCCGTGCAGCTCAAAGAAACGTGTGGCTCCTCTGTACTTGCTCCTTTGGGAGCCCACATAACATCCAGAAGTCTGTGCATTTGATTTATAACTTAGAAATGTGTGATCTTGGCTGTAATCTTCATATCTCATTATTATGGCAACAGCTTTCCTGCTCTGCACAGCACCTGGGTCAGAGGGGCAAACAAGCATCTAATCTTCCCCCCTGCCTCTCTCTGATAGAGATGAAGAGAAGTACAACACAGCACGAGTCGCAGTCCTTCACCCTCTACGTGCCCTCTGGCAACATCAGCTCCCCGGGTGACTCTGAAGCATATACATACCACTTTCATTAACTTTTCCTATTGATTTTTAGAATGCCCCATCGACCAGGATTAAAAGAAAGATTGTGCCTCGCCTGAGCCCAAAGCTAACCTCACCTGGACTTCACCGGCCTTTTCTCTCATCTCTCCAGCTCTTCACCAGTCCTTCCCCACTCCACACAACCGTCACTCCATTCTCCTTACAGAGAAAGCTTCTCAAGTACAAATCGGCCACTCCTCTGCCTTCCCAGTCTAAAATCCTGGAGGAGCCATGCAGCCTCACTCCTGCCTCTCTCCTCTCAGCCCCTTGGTTCCATGGACCATCTTCCTTCCCATTTCGTGGCCTTTACATATGCTGCATCTCTCTACAGTTCTCCCCATGGCTTCTGCTTTAGCCCCTGTACTTTGCCTGGTAACCTTCTACTCATTCTTCAGGTCTCAGTGAAAAGACCATTACTTTGGTGGATATTTTTCTGGTACCACACCTCCCAGGCTAGGATTGGTCTCCTGTTATATAGTCTTATGATATTGTGACCCACATCTTCCTTGCCCTGGATCCCTTTGGCGGCCCCAGATTCCCCCACTGTTTGCCAGAAAAGGCTCTGCTTATCCTCTACCTGTTTCCATGCTACTCATTCTGCAAGCTTCCACTCAAACAAGTCCTCATTGACACCTTCTCCCATTCCCCAGAGTAGGAATCTCCCCCCCTCCCAAATCTCTCTTTTTCTCTCTCCAGGACATCTTTAGGATTTCTTTAGACCTGCTTGGTACCAATACCAAGCTTAGAACTCTATCACATGAGTTTTTGCTTTTCTCTCTACTGAATCTCCAGGGTAGACACCAGATCTCATCACATGTTTACTATGATGGAAGAAACTCAAAATATGTTTGATGAACCAATCAATATGGATTCTCTGAAATTTCTTCTAACACGAAACACACCTGGTCATAGATGTTCTTTTTAAATATCCTACCACACAGTTTCAAGTGACAATTGGGAAAAATGTCTAGTGTTTTTTACTTTTCAACATTTTCTGTCAAATGTCTCTACGTGACACGATGCTAGGACAAAGTGCCCACTATTTCTGTGGGCAGAAGGAAAGAATGACTTGATGGGAGGGGACAAGAAGAGAAATAAAGAGAAGGACCAATACAATAATCAGAATAGATTTTTTTCTTCATATTTCGGGTAAATACCACCATACTGGTGGCAATGACACTGAGAGCCCCCTGTGGCTGGGAGGGAAGCTGCGGAGAAAGTGTTCAGTGCTAGCTCCATAAACTAGGCTCTGGGACAGAGTCTGAGACACTCTGTATTAGATACTGACCCGTGTCATGTGCCACTGGTGAGGAGGATGACAGCGTGCTTTTCCCAAAGGGTGGTGATCTCCCCAAATGATGGCTCTTCTCAGGAGGCAGGAGTGCTTTCCCAGAATAACCTTTTTGCTCTTTATTCAGCTGTTGCAGCAGATACTCATTCGTTACCACCAGGGATCTGAGGCATGGGGGAAAGGCAGACATGAAGTCATGAAAGCAGAGTAGATGCCATTCAGACCTGCGATGTTTGCTAAAGGCCAATATAAAATGAAGTAACATCTGTACATAGAAGAACTGTCCAATTTATGAGTGTGTTATTTTAAAAGCAGGCCGACAGTTTCTTTCTTCATTACAGCTCCTTTATGTCCCAGACTGACAAAAATAGTAACACGATTCACATTTTATACATTGTGACTGTTCTGTCCTTCCAGAGCACTTTCATGATGAGAAGCACTGGGAGACTGGCACCTGACCAGTCCTCCGATTTCTTTCTTCAAATATTAACTTCTGCTTCTTCTAATCTGTCCTGCCTCTACAATTAACTAGTGGTGCTAGTCATGGCTGGACTCTTGGACTCTGTATTACCATGGAATGTTAAAAGCCATTGGAGACTGGCAAAAAAATAAAAAAGATGCATGCACAATGCTATTTTTTTGCAATATTTGTAACAGCAAAATACTGTCAACCTAAATGCCCATCGATAAATAATTAAATAGACACACAATAGACTCCTATAACTATAAAAAGAAGTGAGAGCCCTGGCTGCTGTAGCTCAGTAGATTGAGCACGGGCCCGTAAAGCAAAGGGTCGCCGGTTCGATTCCCAGTCAGGGCACATGCCTGGGTTGCAGGCCAGGTCCCCAGTAGAGGACACATGAGAGGCAACCACATACTGATGTTTTTCTCCCCCTCTTTCTTCTTCCCTTCCCCTCTCTCTAAAAATAAATAAATAAAATATTTAAAAAAAAAGAAGTGAGAGCCAACTCTATACACCACTGTTAATTGATTGCTAAGATAAAATACTGAAGTATCACTATGCCTTTTTCTATATAATAGAATATCCCTGTACAAATACACACCCACACCTACAGGGGAAGGTTAGTAGGAAGGAAGGAAAGGATGAGGCGGCAGGCAAGGAAGCTAGATTTGTCTGCGCTTATCTAATTTTGTAGATATTAGACTTTGGAACCATGTAAATGTTTTACATAATTATAAAATAAGACTAAATCAAAATAAAAAAATTCTCTACAAATCAAAAGCAAATAGAAACAAATTGAACCTGTATTTTGAATTGATGGTTTAACAACACAGAGAAAAATTATTTCAAATTACTTTAAAATATAGCCATTTGGCCCTGGCTGGTGTGGCTCAGTGGATTGAGCACCTGGACTGCAAACCAAAGGGTCAATGGTTCAATTTCCAGTCAGGGCACCTGCCTGGGTTGCAGGCCAGGTCCCCAGTGGGGGGCATGTAAGAGGCAACTACACATTGATGTTTCTCTCCTCTTTCTCCCTCCCTTCCCCTCTAAAAATACATAAAATCTTAATCTCTATATCTATATCTATATCTGTATCTCTATCTATCTATCTATCTATCTATCTATCTATCTATCTATCTATCTATCTATAGCCATTTGACTGTTCATCACTAAAGAGGTATACCCTAATGTTCTCAAAGTGTGATTGTAGACCAGCTAATGCAGCATCACCTGGTAACCAATTACAAATGCAAATTCTCAGTTCCCAGCCCAGACCTGCTGAATCAGAAACCTTGGGGGGTGGGGCCCAGCAATCTGCATTTCAACAAGTTTTTCAGGTGAATCTGATGCACACCTGAGTTTCAGAACCATAATTTTATGCTACTTGTTCAACTTCTGTATATGTTTGAAATAATTATAATGAAATGTTTAAAAAAATTAAAAGGCCATAAGAATGGGTCTGGATCTAATCCTCTGAATATGAAGTTATTCCAAGTAAAATAAGGAAGTTTAAGGTTGAAGATTTGGGGATGGGATTCTTATATTTAAATTTCATTGAAAGTCCTAGTAAAGATGTTTGCCAAATCAAAATGTCCAGGGCGTCTCTCAATGTACCAATAGTCTTGAGGCTTCCTCTGATTTGTCTAGCCTGCATCATGAGGGTACTGTTCTTTGAAGAAGCTGATGCTATCTGAGCTCTTCTGAAGAAAACATATACATTGGATTCTCTCTGAGTGCCAACATATTTCTCTGTGACCAATGGCAGGCAAGCATTTTCCAGGAGAATCAGATGACTAATTTTAGGGGCACACAGTGACCAAGAAAAGCTAGCTGACTCAAACAAGGGTCCTGGTGGATCTAGGGGAAGCTACTTATTACTGAGGTGATGCAATTCACCAGTTCCATTAAAGGCATTTAATCCCTGCTGTCTCCCGGAAAACAGTACTTTGAGTCCTGAAGCTAGCTGGCCTAGATACAAATGGTTTACACATAAGATGGAATTAATTTGAGAAGTATATAGATTTTATCTTGCCAGTAAAACAAAGGACATAAAGGAAAATAAGCATCTGCTTCCAGAAGCCAGCTGGATAGACCCACTCCTACCTCTGACTTTCATGGAGAAGGGCCACTGTCTCTTCCAGCTTTTTCAGCTGGGCAAGCTCCTGGTTCAGGCAAACCACCTGCATGTTCAGCTGTTGGTTTTTGCGCAGAAGATCATCTACAAAAAATATAGTAGCCAGGGGTGAGCAGGATTCCAAGCAGCTGATCTTTGACCAAAGCCTGAGGACATCTTGAAGAATTGGGGACCCCCTCACTGCACCCACCTCCATGCTCTATTCATTGCTTCCCTTAGAGACAGCAGAATACTGGCAACAAACATCTGATTTAAAATGCAATCACTTACTATCGCATGTTAGTTCATTCTAGTGAATCTGGGATTCACTAGAGCTAATAATTCTGCCCCATAGCATTATTATGAGACACCTGTCCTCATTTAGCATAGCAACTCAACAAATATTAGGTCTCTCTGTATTCTCCATGTTAGTTTATGAATGTATGTCCTTTCCTCTCTATGGAGCATGTGAAAATATCTAGAACCGTGTGAGGCACATAGTAATAACTCAATGATTGCTTGCAGGAACTGAATTTATAACCAAGACACATAAGCAGTTCCCCAAATCTATTACCACTGCCTGCAATAATGATGTAGGTAAAAGCACAGGAACTCTGCTCCTAAGAAAGTCTCCTAGAACTGTACTTCTTAAACTTTAGCATGTTTACAGATCACCTGGGGGGGGGGCTTGTTAAAAAACACACTCTGATTCAGTAGGTCTGAGGTGAGGCCCAATAACCTACATGTCGAACAAGCTCCCCCGTGATGCTATTATGCTGATCTGTGAACCACACTTTGAGTACCAAGATTCTAGAAGGTAGAAAACAGGGCTGCAACAGGGGTATTTATCAGCAGTAAGCCAAAATCCAGCACTGGGCCTCATGGCTGATTGAAAGTAGGTATCTAAGTGAACAAACAATGACCTGTTTTCAGAGTAGGTAAGTGGAGATGCTTTGATTATTCAGGCTTGTAAAATCAGATAGTCATGAGACTGAACTCTGGAAATTCAGTACTGACTTCCAAATCAAGTTCCTGTGTAAACTGAAATGCCAATAATCTTTGTTTAGGGGTGATAAGACAGAGAGTTAAGTCAAGGGTAAATTCTATATAAAATACTAACCTAAACTATGCTAATAATATAGTACAAGTCAAAACTTTAAAAAGGTATTATTTTTCACTTATAACTATGGCAAAAATTAGAAAAAAAAAACAGTGTGGGCAAGAATAGAGTGGTTCAAATACACTCATTGCTGATGTGAGTATGAATTGAAAAACTTGTGAGGGGAGTGATTTGGCAATGTGTAACAAAAGCTTTATAAATGTCCATATCTTTTGACCCACTAATTCTACTAGTAGGAATGTCTCCTAAGAAAATAGTCTGAAATGTACACAAAGATTTATATACCTAGATATTAACAGCGGCATTAGCTATCGTGGTGTAAATATTAGGACTCTCAGTTCCACTGGAAGGGAAGAAGGACAATTTCAGAGAAACGTTTTCATTCTCAAGTCTTTTCTTTCATTTCAGGTCTTTGAACGTTTCAAAATTCTTCAAAATTATTTACATTATTAACAATAGCAGCTTTGTTTATAATAGCTAACATTAAAAACAACTATGTAGAGGACTAGATAGATAAGATATATTTGTGTAACATTACAGGAAGTGCCTATACTGTTGAATTAGTAACATTAGGGTACAGAACCCAGTAGGTGATTGTCTAGGGTAGAGAGTGGGGGGAACTGCGCCAGAGTCTGAGAGAACTTTCTGGAGTAGCAGAAATGTTCTGTATTTAATTAGGATGGAATTAAATGAGTATATATTTGTCAAAACTCATCAAACTTAAAACATGTGCTTTGTTGTATGTAAATTTTTTGTAAAAATCAAGACACAAATTTTAATTTTGAGTTCAAAATAAATATACAGGAGTATGGTGAAAGAAAATATACCCAAAACACTAATGGTAGTTACTGCTGGATAGTGGAGTTTTATTTTCCTTATATTTTTCAAAATTTCTATAAAGAATACCATCTTCTGCTATAGTTAGGAAAAACAAGTATCATTCTCAAAAATAATAATAATGTTTGTACTTGCTTTACAATGACAAAAAGCTCCATCTGGTGACTCAAGCCACCTGCATTATTAGAACTCTCTGAGGCAAGGTGATGGTTTCCATTCAGGAAGCCATGTGGCTCTACACAGTGAAGCTGATGAAATGGGCCGTCTATAACAAAAACTGTCTTGGGACACACCACAATCTGCTCTCCTGAACTTACCATATGTGTGGGGTTGGTGCCCACTCACAATTGAGGTGGCAGCACCTTCCTCCAACTGCTGAATTTTTTCTGATAAAATGAGGTTTTCCTCCAGCACTCTGACCAGTTTTTGCTTCAAACTTTCCTTTGGATCAGTGAACAAAGTACAAACACATTAAGAATCTGAAATTCTAAGGAGTGCTTTTAGAAGACTGAAAGAATCCTTCCTCTGTTTAGTGATACACTGAATGGAGGTCAGCATCTCTTCTCACTAAAATTTTAATTCATTAATAAACATAGTTCGGCCCTGGCCGGTGTAGCTCAGTGGATTGAGCTCGGGCCTGCAAACCAAACAACTACAGTTCGATTCCCAGTCAGGGCACATGCCTGGGTTGCAGGCCAGTTCCCAGCAGGGATGCACAAGAGGCAACCATACATTGATACTTCTCTCCCTCTCTCCTTCCCTTCCCCTCTAGGGATAAATAAATAAAATCTTTTAAAAAAAGATGCAATAACTAATGGATGTTTTTCTCCCTCTTCTTCTTCTCCCTCCCTTCCCCCTCTCTAAAAATAAATAAATAAATTTTAAATTAAAAAAAAAAACATAGTTCAAGTGCAGCAAATTTATCACACGGAGTTGCAATTTTTCCTGTGAATTATCCACTGTTTTGGCAGAACAAGTGGTCATTTTGAGAAGTGGCCAGCATTCTGAGTCACCTATCTAAAGATTGCAAAAACTGAACTTGATGTCTGAAAACCCTCTAATGTTAAGAAAAAGGGAAAAAAGACTAAGGATATGAGTCCCTTCTTCTTCTCCCAGAGCTAGCAGCCCGATAGTCAGACTGGCCCCTGGCTCAGGGCTGTCTGCTCCATCAGAAGGGGAGAAAGACAATCCCAGAGATATTTACTCTCTCTCACCAAAATCATACCATGACCTTCAAGGCCATGGTCCTAGACACTTTCACTCAAGGGTCTTTTTTTCCCCTTCCATTTCATGCCTTTCTTTAGAATTTTTGGATGAGGGCTGAGATTAAGGAGTCATCCTTCAGAACCTCTGAGTTGTCCCTGTCCTGGCAAGTTCTGTTTTCCTGATTTGCCCAGAATGTATTTGGGTACAGGAACATCATGGTATTGATGCTCTCTATGGTAGAGGGCTATTCTAGTCTTGCTGCTTCATCCTCTTCTGGTAAAAGAAAAGTAGGAAAGGGAGATGAAAGAGGCATACCATGTCATTAGGGACCACCTGCCCCGCCTCCTTCAGTTCCATCTCCCTCCTGCGCAAGGCTTTTGTTGCATCTTCAGGATGTGAGCGACACCACTGCTGAGAAGGAGCAGGGACTACCAAAGTCAGAAGCAAATCTCGGGCAGGACCTGCCAAAAATTCAGGTTGGGCACACAGGCCAATCTTAAAAGCTAAAGCACAGAATTCCTAGCCAATAATTTACCAGCTCTGTAGGACAAATCGAGTAATCTGTCTTTTTACAAGAATGTAGTAAGTGGCTGTGAAAGGTGTTTCATGATAGATAAGGAATTACGTCCCATACCCTCTGTGGTGGAACACAGCAGACCCTCCCGAATGCAGGCTCTGCGCTATTTTCTAGTCACCAGGGAGTGGCTCCCGAGGATAATTTCTTACAAAACGAGAGCAAAGAGTCACTGTGGGAATGAGAGTGACCATTTGGGCTAAGATTTCTTTTCCTGTATGTCCCTCTGGTAATTAAAAAAAAGTTAAGCCCAAATAACTGAAGTTTCTAGTTTTTACTTAAACATTTTCCACTACCAAAAGCTCCCTGAATTCTTCTCACATTAGACAACAAATAAACATATGGGAGCAACATTTGCAAAACTGGTTTTCCCCAAGTTCCTTAAAAAAAAAAAACCCTAAAAAGAGTCCAGGTCACTTAGTCATTTGAGTTTTTCAAATAATAACATTTCAACAGGCATCTCAGAACTCTGATGATCAAGCCCAGTTCCTACTGTACTTATTACTGGCACTTTCCTAAGGATTATAAAATCCTTTTATAACTATGAACATGACCACACTGTATCTTACACGTCCCATCGCTCTACATGTTACCTGAAGGCTACCAAAAAATTATAGGAGGAACAAAATAATTGGTACATGACAGAAAAAGCACTGATAAATAAAATGAAGGGAAGAAGATTGTGAGAAAAATGCAGTTTTCAACTGCTGTGTTACTGAACAATTTTGGTAAGTGATCAAGAAAACAATCCTTGTAGAGCAGAAGCAAGGTTGGAGCCCTTGTCCCAAAACTGAGAAGACACTTACCGAGAAACTTCTTATTAAGGAGGAGGGAGCCAGGGCCAGTCCAGTGCTTATCCACGAGCTCCAAAAGCTGTCTGAGGACAGTGGCCACATGGGAGGTTCTGGCAGAGATCTGGGGACTGTGGTTTCCTGGCAAACCATGCAAACTGCCCAGGTCACTAGAGAGAGGCTCAAGAAAAAAAACACCCAACCATTTGTCATTCTCACACAAGAGAAACAAGAATCCAAACATTTAAAGTGTTAACCTTAAAAAAAATTATTTATTGGTGTTAGACTGAGGACGGGGAGAGGGGGATGGAGGGGAGGTGGGGGGGGAAGGAGGGAGGAAGGAAGGGAGAGGGGGAGGGAGAGAGAGAGAGAGAAACATCGCTTTGTTGTTCCACTGTACGCATTCCTTGGTTGATTCTCGTATGTGCCCTGACTGGGGGTCAAACCAGCAATCCTGGCATATCAGGACGATGTTCTAATCAACTGAGCTACTCCGCCAAGTCCCTCAGTGTTGACATTTAAGAAAAAGCAAACAATAAGATGATGTCATCTTTCAGTTTAGATTTGAATAGAACATTATTTATGTCCAGGACAAATACAATAATATAGTCAAGAATAGTTTTAAAGATAACAGTATCTTCTATCATAATTTTCTGTAGAGATTTTCAGAAGAAAACAAAAATTGTATTGATACTTACATTATTGGCTCAATATATTATGCTATGTAATAAGAAATGATGAAACTGCAGGATATTTTTTTAAAGTTATATATCATAAAATAAAGTGAGGAGTAACTGATTAATATTATAAGTCATAATAAGCTTATATTTAGTATATTAATATATAATAATATAAATATCCTATAACATTTTATATTTTTAAAAGATCTTGTTTATTTATTTTTAGAGGGAAAGGGAGGGATAGAGGGAGAGAAACATCAATGTGTGGTTGTGTCTCATGCACCCCCTACTGGGGACCTGGCCTGTATAACCCAAGCATGTGCCCTGACTGGAAATCGAACCAGAAACCCTTTGCTTTGCAGGCTGGCACCCAATCCACTGAGCCACACCAGCCAGGGAAGTTTTTTTTTAATGTTAAATGTTATTGTTGGACCCATAGATATGTATAAAGGTAGATCTGTCCAGTACAATTCACAGTTTTTTTATTCATTCAAATATGAGTAAACAAATATACAGACATACATCTTAATGAGTTTAAAAATTATAAATTTTACTGGACAGAGCTATCTGCCAATCTTTTCTGTAGGGTCTCATGGACTTCAAGAAAGCTGATATATATTAAAATAGCCAAATTAGTTTTTAATCTTTGGCTCTTTTGATATAAAAAGCTATAGATGATTAACCAGCTAATGCTGTTATATCTGACAATCGTGAAGCAGAATGCTAAAGTCAGTCATGTTTGTGTGATTTGAGTCACACATCTGGCCTGTGGTTAATAGGAAAAGGCATTACAAATGGGATAAGCATTTATTCAACAGACCTGCACTGAGCATTGATCATATATATGCACTGAAAGTTCTGTGTAAGGACTGTGAATAAATGAAGAGCTAAAAAACGAGGTCCTTTAAGAAGCTAATGACCCAGTTGGGGGGAAAAAGTCATAGGAAGTCTGGTTATATCACAAGGCCACTTTAGAAGAACTTGTCAAAAATGAGTATTTATTGTCCTTGGTTTTTCACGTATTGGTAATTGTGTGTGTGTGTGTATGTGTGTATCAAGAAATAACTTGGAAACATATTTGCCTTTACAGATTTTCTCTCATTTGTCACAATGTGGTGAGAGTTGGGAATAACATTTATAAACTTTGGAATAATTTTGTTAATTATTATGTTTTTTTAATTTTTAGCAAATTATGGCTCATGGCTTTTAAAGAATTATTTTTTATCTTCACCCAAGGACATGCTTATTTTATTTTATTTAAATTGTTTTATTAATTTTAGAAAGAGGGGAAGGGAGGGAGGAAGAGGAAGAGAAACATCAATGTGAGAGAGAGATAACATTGATGGGTTGCTTCTTGCACAAGTCCCAACTGGGGACCAAAACTGCGACCTGGGCATATGTGCCCTGGCTGGGAATTGGACCCACAGCCTTTCAGTTTATGGGATGATGTTCTAACCAACTAAGCCACATCAGCCAGGGCATGGCTTATAGCTTTAAAAAATAAATTTTAATAATTTGCCTATGATTCTGAAATCAGTTGGTCAAAAATAAATTTTCTAATCACAAGTTCATGTTCATTTTAATGTAGGTATCATGGGATTATTTTTAATAACCTTAAAAATATTTTTTAGCAATTTTCTGATATATACCTTTTAAGAAACTGAACAGTTTATTTCTTTTATATTTACATCCAAGTAGCTCTTTTACAGCTTTTCATATAAAGAAAAATAGTGTCTAACAAAAAACCAAAGGAATTTGAGTTTTTAAGACTGTCCAAAAGAGTGCATTGAGATTTTAATTCCTATCTTAACAATGTATATGAAGTAGAGGTGAAAAAATTTCCTAGGACATGTCTTATTAATATAGCATCCCAAATATTTTAACTGTTCCTGTACCTGTACTCTAATTACATTAACACACAGTGCTCTTGTCTGGAAAAATAGGTATCCAGGGGGTGAAAATGGGGAAAAAAGGACCCAAAAGCCAAGAAAGTATTACAAGACTGCCCCCTTTGGTGACCAAAAATTACGGCCACCTTTGAAGTTTTAAAAACTGAATAGAAAGTATTTAAAGAGTAAAAAAAAAAAAAAAAAATCAAACTTGTAAACACATGCCAGTGTGCAAAAAGATTTCTCAAAACTGAGAAATAAGTGACTAGAAATAGCTGTTCTTGACCAAATCTCGTTTCCCAATAGGACAGTACATTTTTAAAATAACAAATGATTCATTTGACAAAGGATCATGGGTTCCAAGAAAGAAAGGACCCTGAGAGCTGAGGTTCCTTTAAATAAAGAGAAAAGGCTTCATGATGGAAGTGGAACACCCCCCCCCAAAATTAATACTCAAATAAATGAGAGGAGAGTACAGGCATTCTTTCCAGATGACGTGTGCAAAAGCCGTGACGAAACTTAGCTAGAGTGCAAACTGAAAAACAATGAAGTTCTATTGTACACCACTATCATTCTATAATTTTATAAAATGAACTATATTATATATGTGGAAAATGTTCTTGATTTGTTGTTCATTCTCTGAACCACTCTTAGCTAAAAATAGCTTGGATAATCTAATTCATTTTCTGCCTGCTGCTATTTTTGGGAAAAAATTGTAATGACTTTAAGTTCTAGACAGAAAAGTGATGCTTTTTAAAGAAATGTCTCAAACCAGTTAGTTACTTGTGGCCAAAGCAATTCCTTCCTGTGGTAAACACTGTCCTCCACTTGTTATTATCAAAGTACTTCCTCACAATGTCTATGCTCTGGAAGTAGATTCTCCCTGTGATGAAAATGAAGAAATGTGGCAGAAGGAGAATGACTTTCCCAAGGGCAGAAGAATTACAGGCTTTGGCCTGGCAGTATTAAGCACTGGCCTCAGAAAATCCCCTTGAATTTCTAGCACTCTTGGTCAGAACCACCGCCATCCCTAAAAAAACCCCCGTTCTGATTTTGAAACATCTGAGGTGTTTCATTCACGAGCACAAACAAGCCAACACTTGCCTCGCTGCAGGTAGCATCTCTGAAACCGTGCTTTGGATTCAGTGTGGCAAGGATATTGTCTTTTCGTTTGAATCCTCTCCTCGATGGGCTTAATGACCTCTTGGTCAAACTCTCTCTGTTTTCTGAAGTCGCAGTAGGCAACAGCAGTGTGCGTAGAGAGTCTCCCAGGACAGAGTTGTTTGGGAAAGAACCATGTGCTGGTGTTAAATCCCTGAGGCCGGTGGGTAATTGTTGCTCTACATTGACCAGCATAGCAGGGTCACTGTTGAAATGGGTTGTGGCATACAGATCTGTGAAGGAAACAGTCTGGGAGATGAACCCGCCCTTCAACTCTCCCGTATCTCACTTCCATCCTTAACCCGCCTGGAGTCCAAGGGTCATACTCTCTCTAATAGGTACCCTCAATTCTCTGGATCCTTTCTTCTTCCACCTGACAAAACCCCAACTCTGGTTAACTCAATTGTCCACATACTCCAGGCTTACACCAGAGCAGTGGAAAGTGGCTGGAGAATAACATGCATTTCTTCACACCATCTTCACTTTAAATTTATGACACTATCTTTTTTTAAAAGATTTTATTTATTTATTTTTAAAGAGAGGGGAAGGTAGGGAGAAAGAAAGGGAAAGAAACAGCAATGTGTGGTTGCCTCTCGCACACCCCCTACTGGGGCCCTGGTCTACAACCCAGTCATGTGCCCTGACCAGGAATTGAACCAGCAACGATTTGGTTTGCAGGCTGGTGCTCAAGCCACCCAGCTACACCAGCCAGGGCTTATGACACTATCTTAACTGGGCCCTTGTAATGCCCAGCTATCCTAATATATTTCTCCAGTCAATTTACTATTCTCTTTTTGAGATGACTATTTCACATCTCTCTTCTCCTCACACTTCCAACATCATCTCCTTTCTCCACTGTCAGGTGCAGATCTCTTTATTTCCCTGAGAAAAACAGGCAATAAGAGGAAACATGTAGCCCTGGCTGGTATGGCTCAGTGGATTGAGCACTACCGTGCAAACCAAAGGGTCACCGGTTTGATTCCCAGTCAGGACACATACCTGAGTTGCAGGCCAGGTCCTCAGATGGGGGACACATGAGAGGCAACCACACATTCATGTTTCTCTCCCTCCTTCTCCTTCCCTTCCCCTCTAACAATAAATAAATAAAATCTTAAAAAACCCAAAACAATGAGACATCTATGTGATTCCACCACTAAATCTACATATTCACGTATTTGTATGCATAAATTCTCTGAATTCCTTTCTGTTACAACAGTTGAACCGTCTGTGTTTCATCTAAGGCCAACCTCCACTGGTGCACTGGATCCCTTCTCCTCTTGTCTAAGGATTTTTCTCATAATATTCCCTTTTCTCTCCTGCATCATCAGTTTTCCCTCTACTGGACCATCTCCATCACGATTTCCTTAATCTCATCCCCCCCACCCTCCAGCTACAGTTCCATTTCTCGGCTCTCTTTCACTGAAAAACTCCTTGAAGAGGTTGCATATATTCAGTAACATTGCCTCTCTGCATTCTTTCTCGAATTCACCTCAGTAAGGCTCTTCTTAACTACAACTCTCCCGAAGCTTCTTACTAATGCATTGCCAAACACTGCAATCACTTCTCAGTCCCAGGCTCACTCCCTCTCTATTAAAGACACCTGACCCGATATTGATCACTCTCTCTTCCTTGAAACATGTTTTTCATTTGGCTTCCAGGACACCACTCCCTCTTGATTTTCCTTCTCCGACCTTACTGGCTGCTACTTTCTCTCCCTGCTGGTTTCTGTTCATCTACTGGATTTCTAATTGTTGAAGGGCTCAGGATTGGTCTCAGATCTCTTTTCTAAGTTACTCCTTAGGTGGAATCTTATCCAGTCTAGTTTTAATGCCAGCCATACTTTTAATTCCCTGAACTCAAGACTAATATGTCTAATTATCCAATTGGCATCTCTGGGAAGTTTTATTTGGCACCTCAAATTTAAGATGTCTAAGACAAAATTCTTGATATCTACCCTAAAATCTGTCCCACTCTTTTATATTTTAGTGAGTGAGAGCTCCATTTTTCCAGTTATTCGAACTCAAAACCTGGTCATCCTTGACCTTCTTTCTCTCACACTTCATCCTCAGTCCAGAAAATCATGGGATGTTATCTTCACAACATATTCAGAAGCAAAACTCACTACTTCTACTACTAGATATCTTCTTAAATGGTTTTCTGCCATTGCTCCCAATTTTATATTCTCAACCCAAAAGCTACAGTAATTCTTAAATTAGATCATGTCACTCTGCTACTACAAACTCTCCATTCTTATCTCACCCAGAGTAAAAGTCTGACTACTTGCTTCCTCTATCCCCTTCTCCTCACTCACTCTGATGCGGCCATCACTGGCCTCCTTGTTGTTCCTTGAACATGCTAAACATGTTTCAGCCTCAGAAACTTTGCACTTACCATTTCCACTGTCTAGAAAGTTCTTCAGTTATCCACATGGCTTGTACTCTTACTTCATTGAAGTCTCTACTTTTATTATTATATCTTATCAGAGAAACTTTCCCTGACTATTCTAAAACATCACCTCCCCCTTATTATACTCTATACCCTTAAATCCTTTTTCCTCACAGCACTTATAATAACCTAAAATACATTTATATGCTAACTTGTTCACCATCTGTCTTATCTTCTTTAGAATGGAAGCTCCATGAAAGTAAGGACATTTTTTACAATGGTAAAATATATGTGGAACTTTATTTTTATTTGCTACTTCATCTGCAGAGCTAGAACATTATCTGGCATATAACAGGTATTCAATAAATTTTGTTTAGTATATTTATGAATAACTAAAGAGGGTGTCTCCAACACTCACCCTGAAACTAGCTTTTTCTGAAAAAGTAACTCAGAATGGAAGTGACTGTGGTCAGAGAAGACTAGATGCTACTAGAAATACGTCCTGGGTTGCTATTTCATGAAAATAACATATATGTAGCTCATAGGTCTTCAATATATTTCTATAACATATCTCACATTTTTCTAATATATCTATCATCTTAAATTCATACCCTACAGATTTCTGGAGGTTCCATGTACTGTTGGCAACTCTGAAATACAAATTAAGTAATGCTAATGCAATTTAAAAAATATTAATTCCAAAATTTCCAGTTATACCTTCCATTTTAATATCTATGAATAAGGCCTATAAATTGACAGGAAGCTATTACCTGAACTAAGTTTCAAAAGCCTTCCAGTGCTGGAGTCAGGGTTGGACAGAGAGGTCAGTAAATCTCCACAGGAATGGGATGTGGTAGCCTTCACGTCATTTGAAGGCTTTATGCTATATTCGCGGTAGTTCTTGCTTCTCTGAGGCCTTTTACCAAGACTTCCATGAAGGGATAGAGTTTGAGAATAATTTTCCAGACCAACATCTGATGATAACTGATAGGGATGAATCTGGCTAGAATCACCCACATCTAGGCGTTTACCCAGTAAGGCATCATGGGTAAGCTGATACGTATCAGATTTCGGTATCATGTCCTTTTCTGGAGAAGAACCAGAAGACTTATTGTCCACAAAAGATGATATTCGGTACCCTTCTCTAGCCATCTTCTCTGGGGATCGGACTGTGGGCTGGCGAGGCGAGTAGTGTCTGAATTCTAACCCCCACAAAAGGGAAAAAAAAGAAGAGCAAAATACAATGAGAACTCTTCTTGGCACAGTTAGGGTACCTCTCTACATTGGACATACCTCTGTCTACCAAAAAACTTCTCAGGAAGGTGGTTTATAATTTTGATAAATGACAGTATAAAATGATGAAAGGACTTCTACATGGAACAACAATACACACACAAAAAAACATGTTAGATATTATCTAAATAGTAAAGCATCTGTAACATTCTGGAGATAAAGTTCATGTCAACCTAATCCCCTAGGAATTTCTTCCCAAAACTATAGTGTCAGAGTTTTCTGGACACTGTTTTCACATTAAAAAATCCAATGCACCCCCACGTGACAATAGTTGGCAGGTCTATGATTTCATAGACTCTCCAAAATAAAGCTAAGCTCACTCCCACCCCCAGAGGTTCTAGGTTCACACACTGGGAACCACTATCCTAAGCCAATTCAACTGCAGGGAACGAACCTGTGAAAATTTCTAATCTAGCTATAAATCACTTGTCTTGGACAGCTGTATCTGTCATCCCCCAAAAGCCTCAGAGTGGGGCAAGTAGAGTAGTAGACAGACAGAGAAGTCTTTGTGTTCTTTGGGGCGTCTTTCAGAGCTGCACATGCTTAAAGGGCTTCCTTAGGGAAGAAAAAATGCTGTATCTGAGTTAATCACATTAACTTAAAAAAAGTGGAACCAAGTATAGGTCTATAGGACCTAAAAGAGTATCAGTGTTTCACCCAGGGCCAGCCTACACAGTGAGGGAAAGGTTGTAGAACAATATCTTTACATAACAAAAAGAATCTAAGAACAAGGAATAAAATCAGATAATTCAGACTGTTCCTACTGTTGAAGATATTTAAAAAGTAGGATGATATATGTTCTTAAAAGCATAAAAGAGCTAGTGAGGAATTTATAGGCCAAATTCTAGGAATTGGCAAGAACTCATATGAGAGGGGTACCCCCCAAAATGGAATTTATTTATAAGAAATTGTTTATTTACTGTTAGATGTTCAAACTTCAGTCACCTTCAAAGGACTCCCCATTTGATGTAGTACACCAATCAAGATGTTTTTTCCACTGCTCAAAACAGTTTTTGAACTTGTCGATTTTGATGTCTTTTAGTGCTTCTGCTGGTTTTTGCTCACCTCTTCCACATCGGCAAAGCATTTCCCTTTGAGGACTTTTTTCATCCAGGAAACCAAACCAGTCACTCGGGATGAGATTAGGGAATAGGGGGGGTAGGGCACAGGAGTCATGCTCTTTTTGGTCAAAAACTGCTGAATACTCACTGTGGTATGGGCAGGTGCACCCGTAAATCACCCACCATGAAATGTGCAAACGCATTTAAAGAATTATCAAAAAAGTTCACTGAAGCCCAACACAACCTCTCACAACAACACCAGCTGGTAAACTGATACAGATGGGTTCCTAGAACACTCAGCTATCTGGGAAAGCTTGTACTACAACAGGCCCACCCTCCAGAAGATAATTGTGATTTTTGGGGGGTCCCTCCTCATAGAGGTAAGTCTAGCACTTAAAGTCACTTTTATCCTAAGGAATTTTAGGGTAACAGGGCTAGAAGTCCAAGTCCAGAGTCCATTCATGGTGAAGAGTAGACAAACCATCCCATACACCTGCCCCACAATCACATTAAGATGGAACTGTGAGCAGAATATAACCTTCAGAGTAAAGGTGAACTGGAACTAAACCAGCCCTTGTACTGGCTAATAATCCAAGTTTACATCATCTGGGTGGTCTAAGAAACCTCAAGCCTTAAGTCTGGATTAAGATGTTCCCAAAATAATAGTGCCCCAGGCCCCTGGTAGAAGGAAATGAAAATCTGATCTGGAAAAGATACCTTCATGCAAAATTTAAAATAATTCCTATATCTAATTTTTTAAATATAATAGTCAGCAAACAGCCCTAACAAACAAACAAAAAAGGAAATAAGACAACACAAATGAGAATGAGTAGAAAAAACAGACAACAAACACCGACTCACAAAAACTTCAGATACTGGAGTTAACAGATGTAGCCTCTACAACAGATATGTTTATTATGTTTAAAGAAATATACATTAAAAAAGAAATATAAAATAAATGAAATATTCTGCTTATAAGAAAGTGACACAGCAGATTTAAAAGAGAACCAAATCAAATTTATAGAACTGAAGAAGAAAGCAGTGGAAATTAAGAACGCAGCAGGAATCAGGTGAGACACAACTGAAGAGAATGTTAGTGAACTTAAAGATGTTTCAGAGGGATTATCCAGAATGCAGACCACACCAAAAAAAGATGAAAAGATATAAATGAATAAGAAACAAAGAGAACAAAGTGAAAATCACTGACATATATTTATTTTTTCAAGAGTCTCAGAAAGACAAGAAAAATTGGACACAAACACTATTTGAAACATTTCCCAGAACTGCCCTGACTGGTATAGCTCAGCTGGTTGGGCACTGTTCCACAAAGTCAAAGGTTGCTAGTTAGATTCCCGGTCAGGGCACATGCCTCAGTTGTGGGCCAGTCCCCAGTCGGGGCATGTGCAAGAGGCAACCAATTGATGTTTTTCTCCCTCTTTCTCCCTCCCTTTCCTCTCTCTAATAGTAAATAAAAAAGAAATTTAAAAAAAGAAACATTTTCCACAACTATTGATAGCAAGGCACAATCCATAGATTCAAGTGTAATAAACACTGAGTAGGACAAAAAGAAATCCACATGATGGTGAAACTACAGAAAATCAAAGACAAATGGAAAATCTTAAAAAGCAGCCAGAGAAAAAAAAAGACAGATTATCCTTGCAGGAGTGACAGACTTCCAGCTGACTTCTCAAAAGCAGCTACAAAAGGCAGAACACAGTGGAACACCTTCAATATTCTGCCAACCTAGAAATTTATACCCAGCAAAAATACCCTTTAACAATGATGATGAAATAGAGGCATTTTCAGACAACAAAGAATGGAAGAGTTCATCTTCAGGAGACTAAAGGAAATTCTACAAAATGTACTATAAGCTAGAAGAAAATGCTCTCAGAAGGGAAATCTGAGATGAAAAAAAGAAATGAAGAGCAAACAAAGTAGATAAATTAAAATGAACATTGACTGTATAAAAATATCTTATGGGCTTTAAAAAATATAAAGAATTAAAATCCATAACAGTATACATAAATCAGGGGGATTAAAAGGAGTAAAGTACTTTAAGGTATTTGAATTATCCAAAAGTTAAGGTACTGATTAATTTTTAAATTGTGTAAGAACACATATTATAGTTTTGAAAATAATACTAAAAGTGTAGAAACAGTACATAATTTATAAATTAGTAGAGGGGAAAATGGATGAATAAAAACAATAAATCCAAAAGATGGCAGGAAAGATAAGAAAAAGAAACAAGGAATGGTCAACCAAAACAAAAAGTCAAGAACAAAGAAAGTCATAATATCCGTTCGTCAACCAGAAATGCCTTCCTTACAGGTTGCTAAACATCGAGGGCAGCGCCCCTCACAAAAGCAGAAAAGAGTCAGTTGACCACAAAGGGCTCTGGGGCTGAGACATCTCCTTCTCCCAAATCCCATTACATCTAGATTTCTTTGATTAATGTGGCAAAAAATACCCAGTGAACAAAATATTTACCATCTTCTTGGTGATTATCACTTGGCACCTCCCTTCTTGCCACTTCCTGCATCTAAAAAAAGTTTGAAAGTTTAGGAGAAGGTGAGTTTCCCACACCTGTAATTCAGAATACTTTCCTATTAGTGAGCAAATCAATCCTTGCAGACTGGGGAAACAGACCTTCAAACAAAGGCCTAGGTTTAAGCCTATTTTAAAACTGCCACAATACAGTTTCCAGAGTTGCTTTGGAGTAGGTAAGGAGACTCCTTGAAAATATTTAAAAAAAAAAAAGAAAAAATATATATATCCTTAGATGGCAAAGGACATACCAGTGAAATGCTATATTTTTCCTGCTTAGATAACTTAGCATAGTAGTTAGATGGGACTACCCTTTCCACCTTTGTTTTTCTTTTTAAGAACTCCCTTACTATTTTACCTTCTGGTAAAGCTGAGTATCAATGCTAGGAGCTGCTGAGAGTTTTAATGGGCTGTAAAGTAATCTGAGCCACAACTGATACAAAATAGGAAGCCAGCCATCTAGGGTTTGATTTTTCAAAACTCATCTTAAAATATTTAGTATATTTTTGGTAGTTATGCAGAGAAAGAAATTCCTCCTATTATTTCTTAAATGGAAACTATACACAGCAAACTATTTAATTTCTTTTTTCCTTTCACTCAAGAAGTAATTTCAAAAAAGTTGGGTATGTTAATCTAAAAGGAGCTATTTAACTTTAAATGTATATTGGAATACTTTCTGTCACCATTTCCTTTAAATCAATACAAAGACATTAAAAATGGTAACTGAGATAGTTTCCAAGTTACCCTAGTAGAATTTCTAAAAACAAAGAAACCAAGTAAATGCTACTCTGTCTTTTTATAAGATAAAGGCATATACTCAATCTGAAAAAAATACTAACTTTTTACTTGTCACTGTTGACTACCCAAATTGTAGATTAATTAGAGTTTTTGCTTCTTTTTTCTCTTTTTCCGGCTATTTCCAGCAATTGCATTGCTCCTAATATATTTTCAAATGTAGACAAAAGAAGTTGAATATAAAGAAGTCAATTCTGCATTATATTCACTCTTACAAATAAGTCTTATATAATGGTTGTATCTTCATTTAATTTTTTCATTAAAATCTTATTTTTAAAATTTCCCCCAACTTGTATGATTTCTACCTCCCCATTGCCCAAAACTACTATGCCATTTTTACCTGATTTTTTTTGTTTGTTTCATTGAAGAGGTAGCTTTGGGAAAGTCATCCCTGAGATAGAAGATTTGGCAATTAAAAGATAGAGGTAGAAAATGTAAAAAGCAAGGTAATAGGAGATGGAAACATTGGGTAGAGAGGAAACATTTAAAAACCAGCCAAAAATTCTAACAGTTGCATCCCTGTTTGAGGGCCAAAATACTTGGCATAAAATGTGCTGAAGCTATACATGTAAATATACTACATTGATAACGGGTTAGTGGGGGGAAGGGAAAGGGGAGAATGAAATTAATGCAGAAGGTCCTCTGTATCCTCTCCTGCCTTTTTCTTTTAAAAGGTCTAAAATGCCTTATCAAACAAGTCCTATTAGATCTTCAGCAATAATTGAGAGTCTGCTGAATTACTAGTATTAATTACTGACTAGTCAACAGATCAGCAGGAAAGTGCATACATTACCTGCGTCTCCAGAGAAAAAGGGTCTAATTTCTGATCTGGTATACCGTTGCATTGGGTTGCAGAAGTGCTCATTAGGGAATCCTTTATTTCCCGGTTGGGAAAGGGAATAAATAGTCCTTTGTTTGAGTCTGTGTTGAAAGAAAAGGCATACAATGGAGCACTCACCAGATGTCAAAGGCAACATGTCTAATGGAAAGATACTAAAAGGGAAGTCACAGGTTCTGGTGACACTACTTGGAAACTATGTATACTTGGGTAAATTGCTTAACCTCTCTCAATCCCTTACCTCACTTGTAAAACGGTGCTGATAAAACCTAACCTGCCTATCTCTTAGGGTTGAGGTGAGGTTAAAATAAGATAATGGGTATGAAATGGCTTCATAAGTTATGAAGTGCTCAATAGAAATTAAGAAGGCAAACGTTACGCACATTTCCTAAGTGAACAAATAAGGACCTTTGAGACCAATTCAACAATCCCCAGCCACAGAGGGAGATGGCTAGGAACAGACTCCTGACATCACATATGTCCAGGCTTCTCATCAGCAGTCTGCTGATTCGTCATTTCAAACCAGCCTCTTTCTGCCTTGATTTCCTCATTTGGAAAAGAGAAAGACTAATCAGGACTTTTACATAGAGAAGAATGTTAAATGCTTAGGTCTCCCAGTATTTTTTTAACCTATGCTTAGACAAACAATTTTAAAATTAAAAAGAGAAAACAAACAAAATTTTAATTTTACTCCTGGCCACTCTGGAAACTTATTTAAAAAGAGCTAGTTAGGCCCTGGCTGATGTGGCTCAGGTTCAGTGCTGGTCAGGGAGCATATGAGAGGCAAGCAATCAGTGTCTCTCTTCTTTTTCTCCCTCCATTCCCCTTTCTCTAAAATCAATCAGCATGTCCTTCAGTGAGAATTAAAAAAAAAAAAAGAGTTAGTTAGGATTTCTAATCAATTACAACACTTGTACAAAACTCTATGCCCATTCTTGACAAATGCTTATTTATTGTAGAATTCTGGGATTTGGGGTCTTCTGGGAGAATGTGGGCAAAAACAGAAGTTTTTGGTTTAGAGAGGTTTTGTTCATAGCAGGACTGTGTGAGAATTACGACAGTTTCAAGGACTTGGGCCTTACGCAAACATATGTTCTTCTGCTAGTTCTCATCTGCAGGCCCTGGCAACAGAAAGCTACTAGAAACCAGGACAACTGAGAAAACAGAGTGAATAAAGCCAATCTTTTGACAATCCGTCCCCTCAGTCTATGTGGGGCTCTAAAATGTTCCTTATTTCTGAGTTGCCTCCTGGGACTGAAATGTCTTGTGATTACAACACTAACTGTTTAGTTGTCTATGGGGCACTCTTCCACTTGACCAAACTACTTTTCTCAAAGTGACATAATCTCTCAAAGTTCATGTTCTCTTGTTCCTATAGTAGTAATAACACAGAAAAAAAACAACAAGATGAAACAGAAATTGCTGGTTTTAACCTGATTCTTAGTGAAAAATGAAAATGGTTACTAAGCTATGACTTTGGGTCCAAGGTTCCTCTTACCCTTTCCCACAGAACAACACTTAACACTTGCCTCCCAGGTGTCCAAGGCATTGCTCCATCGTGGTTTTCCTCCTACCATGCTAATGCTCTTCTCCAGATTCACAGGTTGTCTTGCAACCTTCCTCTTGGTTCAAGCAAATCCCCCAACGTCCAAACTCTTTGCTGAATTTTATCATACCTTCTCTTTGGTTTCAGCTGTCACCAAAAGATGAATGACTCTAAATCTAAATCTATTAACTATGATCTCTCCTTTTATGTGTAAACCTAAGTTTCTTGAACTTCCCCCCACCAAAGAGTGCCCCACAGACAACTAAACAGTTAGTATTTTCTAAACCAAACTCTTTATCTTCCCTTCCAGACCCACTTCTGCTGATAGTCCTCACCTCTACGCTTTACCTGCATCTCAGAATTGCCATTATTGCCCACCCAATCCCCCAAGATAGAAAGTTGTTCTTGGATTCATCTCAAATCTCAAGTACCAAGTTCTATAGAACAACTTTTTTTTTGTGCAGGGCGAATCTTTATTTTAATTGAGATATAATTCATGTATCACACAATTCACCCTTTTATAGTATGCAATTCAGTGATTTTTAGTGCATTCACAAAGTTATGCAACCATCACTACTATCTATCTCATTTCATCACCCCACAAGAAACCCAGTTAGTTGTCACTCTCAATTCTCTCCTCCCCACCAGCTCCTGTCAACCAATAATATATTTTCTGATCCAGTGGATTTGATATTCTGGACATCTCATGCAAATGGAGTAGTACAATATTTGACCTTTTATGCCTGGCTTCTGTCACTTAACATGATGTTTTCAAGATACACATGTACTCTGCCATGTATCAGTACTTCACACCTGTTTGGGCTGAATAATATGGCTTATATGGATAAACTGTATTTTGTTTGTCCATTCATTAGTTGATGGGATTTTTTGCCATAATGCTGCTTTCATTCCTGCACACATCTTTGTGTGGACATATATTTTCATTTCTCTTGGGTGTATATCTAAGAGGGGAGTTGCTGGGTGAAATGGCAACTCTACGTTTAACTTTTTGAAAAACTGCTTTCCAAAGAAACTATACTCTACCATTTTATTTCCCCACCAAAAATACATGAGGGTTCTAATTTCTTTACATCTTTCCCATCCACATCTTTGCCATCACTCATTATCTGTCCTTTTGATTCTAGCCATCCTAGTGGCTGTAAATGGTCTCCTCCTGTGATTTTGCTGTGCAATTTCCTGATGGCTAGTGATGTTGATCATCTTTCTTGTGCTTGCTGGCTAGTTGCATATGTTCTTTTGAAAAATGGCTATTTAATCCTTTGCCCAGTTTCTAATAAGGTTGTCTTTTTGTTATTGAGTTGTACAAATTCTTTGTATAGAGTGGATACTAGACCCTTGTCAGATATGTGACTTGCAAATATTTTCTCCCATTCTGTAAACTGTTCTTTTACTTTCTTGATAGTGTCCTTTGAAGCACAAAAGGTTTTAATTTTATAGAGTCTAATTCATCTATTTTTCCTTTGGTTGTCAGGCTTTTGGTGTCATAGCCAAGATACAGGCTTACTCCTAAAAAGAAAAACTGCTTCTTCTGCCATTATAACTAAGTGTGCCATTTACCACAATTGGGAAAAATCAGGAAAAAGCAGCAATTTGCATTCTGAGATTGGCTCTTTTTCTTGGCTTATACTTCAATTTACTTTCTTCTTTTTTTCCAGCTATAAAAGATATCCAGCCCTGGCTGGTATGGCTCAGTGGATTGAGCTTGGGCCTGCGAACCACAAGATCGAAGTTGGATTCCCAGTCAGGGCACATGCTTGGGCTGCAGGCCGGTGGCCAGCAGGGGACACACGAGAGGCAACCATACATTGATGTTTCTCTCCTTCTCTCCTTCCCTTCCCCTCTAAAAGATAAATAAAATCTAAAAAAAAAAAAAAAAAGATATCCAGAACTTAATTCCAAAAGCAAATGTAATTATGACATTGTTGTCTATTCCAGGTTTTACACTCACGTAACCAATGTGATAGAACCATAATTCAATATATTTTTACCACTGAAAATTGTTTGATATTTGTAATGACAGAGAAATGACTTTATAATGCTGATACAGGTGCAAATAACCAACAGTTGACTACTTCAACTACCAGTAATCATAGCTGGATGAAGCCCCACTTCACACTTTTGGCCCAAAACCTTGTAATCTGCGTGAAGTTGAAACAGAGGTACACTGCCCAGATCCCTTCCACGGAAGGACTTGTTGCTCTACAGAGTCTGCCTCAGCTTTGGAGAACTACCTCCTGAGGCCACACCCTTCCACAGGTGATTCACGTTAGGTACCTGAACGAGGCCCCCTCATTTGCCTGGTATGGGACGTTCTGGAAGGCAGTCCTCACTCTACTTCTGTCTCTGCTCAGCCTTCCTTCCTTTGTTTCCTTTTGGTGCTGATCTCTAATAAACATCTTGTACCCTAGATTCTACTGAGACAAATTTTTAAGAGCAGAACTAGTCTAGCACTGGTCTCCAAAATAAAAGAAGCCTTGAGCCATTTCCTTTAATTTGTTAATGCCAATGAAAACAACTTAATCACTGACTTTTGAAATTAATATATGATAACCATTGCAGATATGATGATCATGAGAGGAAATCAGTGGTTTTTCTCCCACCATAAACAGACTGCCTGTAACCTTAGTAACCTTGTATTTTTCCCTCTTAAATATCTGATGTGTTTTTGTTCAGAAATTCAACTCTTCTGAAGTTTGGACTCCCTAGCAAAACACTGCAGGTAAAAATACTTAAGGTTTCATCTCCAGGTTTTCTTCTCATTCCTGAAGGACTTCATCAATCTGTACTTCCTCATTTGCATTCACACTGCTAATATCGCCCTATGTCAGGCAGGTCTTCATCATCTCCCACTCGGACTACTGCCTATAGTTGCTGCCCATCTAAGTAAACCTAGCTTGAGTTATCTCTATAAATCATATAGTTAATCATGCCTTTCATATGAGACATTTGTTACCCATTTTCAAGAGAATAAAATAAAAATGGTTACTAAAAGAGGCTTTGCAACTTGACTTCAGTTAAGCACTTTCACTCCAGCCACAAAACTGAGTCAATTTCCTAATCTGTCAACTCCTGTATTTGCTGCTGCTGTTCCCACTGCATTGAATGATCAACTCTGCCCACTGAATTCTGTCTGAATGCCCAATTTAAATGCCTCCTCTTTCCTGAAATCTTTTTCTAGGTACAAGCTGCTATTGCCTCTCCCCCATATTTTTGTTTTTTATTGTTGTTTGTTTTTTAATCTCTGCAACAGTCTCAGCCTCACTTGTCCCTAATCAGCTGTGATAGATCTCTGGACTGAGAGTATCTGAAGATCAACACCTCTGTTTCATTTCCTCATATGCCTAGCCTCTAACACAGTTGTCCAGTAGGCATACACTTGTTTCCTGAATTGCTTTCATTTCTATTGTGGCAGAGATTGCCTTTATTCACCTCTTAAGAATGCCCCCCAACCCCCCATATAAGAGTTTGAGACTGCCAACATTTGGATTTCTATATGAACTTGTTTAAGCCACTATT